TGCTGGAAATGATCTAATTAACGCTCATATCTTTGACTTAAAAACAATTATTAGGTACCTTCGAAACAATATCCAACCATGTGCCCATAAGCACGAAGCGATTTGAATCGCTAAGGAGTGGAATTATTTGTCTAAGGTTATGTATTAACTGGGTTTCTTCAAAATCCTAATTAATAGGTTGCTAAGGTAGGCGTGCACGATCATAGTACGCATTATCGCTTATCACCAGGCAAAATAGTCGCCAAAAGCCGGTCCCTTGCCAACAAAAATTATAGATATGGTGCCATTAGCCATTAATCATAGTATAAATATTAACAGAAAGAAAACGTGTGACAATATCTTTAACAGACATAAGACCATAATCCATTGGTCATTAAATATATTATTTAAGTTCGACTCCACTCGGGTAGGCAGATAAATAATTGTCATAACAACATTGCATATGCGAAACGTCGAGTCAATCAACCCATTGCAAAATCATTGAATGTACTACATAAGACAAGGCGGAAGTTTAAAATATTTGGCTAATGTAATACCTAACTAAAAGACATTACATAATATTTGGCAGTGTCATGATAAGGCTTGTGAGCAAATGTACATTTTATTTTATCAATAATAGGTAGATACTTAGCTACCTACTTTATTGCTTTTTAGTAAAATGACATGTTCAATTTTCTGTCGACTTCGCGGTTGATCGGTTAGCAGAACTACACATTGCACGTGATGCGGGTTCGATTCTCTTTTGAAGTCTTTGTGTTATCCGCATTTTTTTGTTTCTGGTCTGAGTGTGATGTGTATGTGAAATTATATGTTTGTAAAGGCACCCATGATCCAGAAGAAAAGTGTGGGGCAGAAAAAGGTTTAGTTTAACATAAAAATCAGCAGCTCTACCTACTGAATGCAGGTATTTATCTACCTGTAAACCTAGAATATTGTCAACTTTTTAATTAAAATCGTAATCGACATATTAAGTACAAAACCAACTATAAGATAACGTGCCTGATACATCTCAATAAAAAATTTACTTAGGCTTTTTTAATCCACCACAAAATTATTTCACCGGAGTTGCGCGGCAAGCACAATAAAGTACCCACCTACTACGGCCTCGGCCTGGAGCAATAGTTGTATAGAGAGGTTTTCTTAATTAGTAAGAGTCTGACACTTCCTCTCGCTTTACCCTGGGCTGGAGAAGTCATTTGAAAATTATGCCCTCATAAAAAACCAAATTATTAGGTATTTGAATTGTCTTAACTTATTAACCTAAGACTTAAACTTGTGTACTCACGTTTACAGAGGAACAATACATTACCTAAACAATTAGTTCCGTTACCTTAAATTAACTAACAAACTCAGAAAAACTGACAGCGGATATACAAACAGCTACATAATTAAAATAGCCCCGAGTCCGTGTTACGCGCAGGCAAAAACAGCGGTCGTGCGCGTGCGCACTTTCGCACAATCTCTGGCGATACGGTCCTAGAAGATTGCGTGACCTCGCCGCCAGATGTTGATATCAAGTCGTATCAGTGTATCAATCTGCTCGAGAAAGGTGATTAGAGAGAGTACGCCAGGGGCTAATAACTAGATTAGGATCCATATGTAAGTACGAATGTAATAAAGTCATCTAAGAACTTCTCTTAGACAATTTTAACGCGTTATTTTATGTTATAGTGCAATAGGGCGGCAAACGAGCTGACGGATTATCTGGTGGAAAAATAATCGGCAATTAGTTGCCGACCTTTTAGGGTTCAAGAATTGGGAGAGTGAGAAGTACCAAGGAGGTTTGGGCCTCTCCAGTAACCCCTCTCACACAGAAAACAAAGACGCAAGTGCTGATTCACCTCAATTTTCTGTAAGGTCGGTCGGGAAGGTTCATTAAAAATACAACAAATCCGTAATGACAAAACCAGAAGAAACGTGCCTCTGTACTATCTATTGCTTTATAAGAACTGCTAGCAAAGATCAGCTTGAGAAGTTGGATCCAAAACTCTTTTTTAACTTTTATTAATTGCGAAAGTTTTCTCTATTAGTTCGATCATTGTCTTTGGATTACCATAAAAATAATAAAATAAAAGTAGTCAGGTAATTACAATCGCTTTCTTTTACATTAAGTAGGTAGTTTGTTTAAATGAGAAGATTTGGCTAATTTATCGTTTTATGTAAGTAGCCACTTTATAAATGGGCTTTGCTAATTTCTCCTTAATGGAATGTGTTGATAATGGTTCTTAGTATCGACCTAATCGAATTGGGTGAATATTTTCATAATATCTATCAGGCCTAACACGCAGACGTAATAATAATCTCCAGATGTTATATTCCCGATGCCCCCACTTTTTCGGTCCTAATGGTGGACCTTGCGACCTTTTTTTTAAATATTTTTTGTAAACTACCGATTTGGATAAAATTAAGAACAGACATAGTTTGAAACTCGAGAATGGACATAGGATAGTTTTTATTCCGGGAATTCAAAAGGAGAACTTCCAAAAAATCCTATGGGATCGGGAACTACTTATGTGGGTAAAACCAAAAATCTGTTAGAACTATTCCACGCCGACGAAGTCGCTGGCAGAAGCTAGTATTATAATAATAGTGTTCTTCTCCACCAATGAAAATTGTTTGAAAAACGTCGTTCCAGTGGCTTTCAGTCGGAAAAGGTGGGGAACAACGAGAATATACCAGCTGGCATGGTAAGCTGGTATCAATGACACATTCTAGGCATTAGTAACAATACGGAACAAGCCACTACATCGATAATTTCATCACAACAAGCTTATTTACATAAACGAAACCAGTTTGCCGACAAGATCGCAAGATCAGACAATAAGAGTGACAGACAATAGTAATAAACTTTCACATTTTGATGCCTGTATCATTCATAGATGTAATGCAAGCGTTAAATTAATTATATACTTATTAGTATTCGTGTAGGTACATTGGCACGATGTAGGTTGTATAGATTTAAGTGCAGTAGGTAGGTAAATGTGCCGATGTACCCCGTAATTTTTGCACCCACACAATCGTGCCTATCATACATTAGTTTAAGGAATAATAATATGATAAGTATTTATAGTAGGTAATCTGGGCTTACTTCACCACCTTTATATGAACCCAATAAGTAACGTAGCACTGATTGACATAGTAGTTTGTTCAAGTGATACATAGCAGCATTAAAGACATAGTGAAACATATTAAGGTGTTTAAAACTACCAACCTACCCCCTATATTAACATGTCCAACTAGGTATCTCGCTAACTACTAAAGTATCGCTATTTCCAACTTTCCATCCTATTTCTTTTCATAAGAATCTTCCCCTTAAAATAACAAAAAACAAAAAAGAGTATTGTCAAAATTGGTCCAGAGGTTGAGGTCCGCTTACCAATAAATTTTGCGATTTATTTTTATGCAGCAACTACTATTTTCCAATTAACTAGTATAGGTAAACCTGGGATCTATGAGCGAGTATACCCATAGATTACACCTAAACTATAACTGGAAAATATACCTATTAGCTCATGGTACTTTGCAGGGTACCTCTAATGTGTTGGGAAAATGACATTTTGTCATTTTCTCGAAGTCAAAAATGTCAAAATGACATTTTTGACTTCGAGAAGGAGTGTCAGACTCCTACTGCTCGGCTGAATATTGGCACTAGGCCATCCGCAGTCCATCAGCGTGGCCGGAAATCGTCATGCGATCCCACATACTCAGATTGTCTCATACTGCTGTGCCTGGGGCGTGAGAAGAATAGTTCTCTCAAGCGTTCCTTCTTTGCGATCATAACTGCTATGCAGAAAGAGGATCTTCTCTTTCTGTGCAGGAGTCAGGTTTCCCAGTTCCTCTTGCTCCGCAATATAGCGTCGACTCGGGCCGGACACGAGAGGTAGCCGCCGCCGATCACTTCCCTGAGAACACGGCGGGGCGCAGACCAAGCAGGGCACTCCTGGTGGTCCTCACAATGACTACACCCGGGTGGTACTTTCCGCGCAATACGAAATAGGTAGATACCTCCTGAACCGTAAGCGTCAAGCTGAGGTAGCCATGGCGTCTCTATGCCACTCTTCAGGGTTCGTATAAAGATATATTCTACTAATATAACGGACGGAACGGAACTTAATGAAATTTGGCAAACAGGTAGATTATAGTCTGGAGAGAAAGATTCTAAGCTACTTTTTTCCTGGTACTGCGGGATTTGCCACTTGCAGAAACGAATATCTACATAAAATAGAACCTATCTTTGTTACTTCAGTGATAGACAGAAGTCAGACCATTTACCAGAAATCTTAAATTCAAATGGTACAAAAAGAGAATGTCAGCTTCACTAGTTCTGAGAAGTATAATTGACAAGCACAAGCACAGAGATGCACAGGCCACGTTGCATAACCACGCATAACATAGCGACGGAGTCAATTACCTAAAGGTCAGAACTTCACAAGCGCAGGAGTTTAACGTAACTATGAGACGTCGACGATAAAAATTAAACTAACAGTGGTGCTGTCATTGTTTTTAATGTCTGTAAACGTTATTTGTAAGAAATGGACTTTAAGAAAAAAAATGGTGAGTTATTGTGAAAAGCATACATTTTAAGAGAATATATTCATCTTTTAGTTTTATGAGCACATTATTTTCAGGATCATCATCAGGATCTCTTCAAAACGTTCGATGATAGACTTTCAAAGAGTTTCTTGCTTAAAAATAAATATCATAAGACCCTGATTTTTATTAAGTTTTCGACGTCTGAAATTATGGAATCTCGTTTTAAATTTTTAATGCACTATTACTCTAGGTAACCTACCTATGTATAAAACCTAAAGTACATAATACACTTCTAGGTAGTACTATTTAAGTAGTTGTTTTATCTATTATGTCATAATGGAGTTCCTCAGGGTTCAATAATTGGACCATTGTTTAACAACGAACCTCTTTCGGCTGATGACGAGAGACCGAGATCCGACGAGAGTTTAATAAAGAAAAAAGTAATGGTATTTGAGGTATCTGTAATTATTAAATTTTAACTTTAATGTTAATAAATGTAACAAAGTAGTAACAGTTATTTAGTTTTTATTAATCTTTAGTAACATTTAACATAATTTTATTACTACGAGGTCATCTCGACAAGCTTTAGCGCGACTTCTTCCAGCTGTTTATTTTTTATTATCAATTCACTATTCTTTTGCTTCATATATCTCAATTTTTCCTTTAGAATAAAAATGCTTTGAAGGTTTCGCCCCAATTTTTCTCTGTTAGATTCTTCTAAGCTGTTCTTTTTCGCTCTGACTCCATTTTTGACGTACCATATTCTTGTGTCCCCTTCCTTGCCTCTCTGAGTAGTTGTAATTTTGAACATGGCTTTCTCTTTATATATATTCGTGAACATATGTAGTACATCCAGTCCTGTTTCCTTTGCTAGTGTATCTACGTACTTAGGAAAATGTGGTTGGATCATGTATTTATCTATATTGTATCTGTGAACATATTCATGCTTTGTGTATGTGTCGCCATGTTTTGATTTAGTCAGCTCTTGAATTATTTCAACGTTGTAATCATCCGTTTTGACTTCTCGTACACTATTACTGAAACAAAATTATTATAGATATTTAACGACTACTAGTTATGTAACAGATTATTAACAATACCAAATAATCTGATAAACTGTGTTTATAGATTTAATTGAGGGACTTCTTAAATTAGTATCTGGTTTATTCTCAAATATCATGTTGTCTAGATTTTTAACACAACCAGCGAAACTGATAATCGACATTTATCCTTCTCTCCTTTCGTTATCCTATCCTTAATAATAAAATAAAGTTTAAATTCTCACCTATTCAACAATTCATCATTCGTTTGTATTTCTTTATCCACACCATCTTTCAAACCGGTTATTAAATTATCATTAACAACGAAACCGGTAACATTGCCATCTTTCATATAGACATCGAAGACTGGAAGAAGCGTTTGCGCATTACCAGACTTATCAGCCGTTTGTACTGCGACATCTTGTGCGTAACTCTCATCGGTCACTTCACCTACATACTGAACAATACTATCAGTAACCTCTCCATCTTCAGTAATATATTGTACTTGACTATCTTCTTCAACCACATCTTGAGTATTATCATAATCTTGCTCTACTATTTCACTTTGTTCAATTTCACCTTCTTGTTGCTCGTGCATGTTTCCTTCTATACTTTCACCAATAGCAATATATTCTTCAACTACTTCTTGCGTTTCATTGCCATCAGTAACGACTGTTTCGTAAGCTATATTATCAATTTGATTTTCTTCCACGTGATTTACTTGTTCTTCACTAACATATTCATTACTGATGATCTCTTGGGTTGAATCATCACAATATTGTATTGTGTAACCCAAGTTTTCAATTCCATTTTGTACCAATATGTGTAAGTCTTCATCTAAATGCTCCACCGTTTGGATGTGTACTGATTCCTCGCCTTCAGTTTGTTTGGTGGCTTCTTGTTTTAATGTATAGCTAAAATAATAAAAATGAAAATATATTTAATAACCGTTAAGTATATTAAACTGCTTTTTACTGTTTTTTGCTGTTTTTTAGCCTGGCAATTCGGCTGAGAATGGTGGATACGGTCAAAAGATCGGGAGGCGTGGAAGCGAGATTCCTCCCGCTTATCTCGCTTCCACGTCTCCTTTGCCAAATTGAGGGATGTAACAGGCTAGTAAAAAAACTGATCTAATATAAGCAATTTTTATATTGGGAAGAAACAAAGCTAGCTAGACAAGACTAACACCTACGGTGGCACGCGCTAATCTGCAAAAATACAAGTTCGAATTGAATTTTTTTTTTATTAGTAGGCTATACTTCACGTTGTGATCGGTAGCAGTTAAATAGCGGGAGAAACCGCGCGCAAGTCAGTTATTCATAAAATTGCTAATATACCTGTTAACCAACACAGGGGCACATTGATCAGCAATCCAAGGATTTGGCTCAATCTCACATTTAACATTGGCAGATTCCTGTAAATTCTTCACACTCTGCAATGTTTCATTTTCACTGTTTACTTGATTTGTATTGATTTTCATTCTTTTCGGCGTATCCGAAATATCTTCTTCATAGATTATCGAGCCTAGAATATAATAAATAAATATTAAATGTTTTCGTAAATGATGCATAGTCCAATCATTTGGTAGTTTTAGCTAGAAAGCATTGTGGGAGTTTTGAAAAACTCAATGTCCTCTTTCCGAATTCGCATTGTGCTTCATTGTTTATGATTATTATTTGCGCAGCCATCGTGGAAAAATGGCGGCCAATAACAGTTATTAAATGACTGGACTAACAATTTTAGACTTTAAGAAAATGATGTACCTAGCTTAATTAAAAATCGGATTCACTGATTTTTGGCTTAAATTTTCTTCAGATCTTTTGAATGGGTTTATTTAATTGATATATTTTCGATTAGGATCTTTAAATGATTATTAGAGGCAAATAACTAAAAAGTAGCTTACCCAGCTTACGTCTTTTAGTTGACGAAGGCTGAAGAGTCTTTGTTATATTTTTAAGGGCTGATCTGTTGATAATTTTCTTGGTTCTTATAACTTCATCATCGGCATCTGAAATAAATATAATAGGTGGTAATAAAGTACATAACAATATAATAATTGCAACAAAGCAGGTAGATATGCTGGTGTCTTTAGAAGAAATAAATAATATTTCTAATGATTTGATCCATTATGTATGTACGACACTATTGGTAGGTGAACACTGCTCGTGAGTATAATAACTCGTGTCTGAATGACGTGTGTGTGTGTGTGTGTGTGTGACCCGTCACTTAACGTGAAACTGTTCGAGCTTATTATATTATTCCTAACAAACATAAAAATTTACATAAAAAATATAACACTTACTATCATGTTGCGCCCGCGCATCTGTACTTTCATCTTCATTATCACCAAACATTTCGTCGACAGCTGAAATAAATAACACAAAATTTTGATAAAATTATTGCGAAACAATAATGGAGAGGCGAAATAAACCATTAGGGTTGGAATTAGCATAAATCTTATTTAATGCAGTGCTCTTAATCACTAGTTGTGTTAATTGAAAATAGTTCCTAGTGGCATTACAAGTGATTTTATAATCAGTTACAAAATATTAAAAACTTACAGCATTTGAGAACAAAATCCTCAAACATTTGTCTTTACATAAGCATGCCTTACTGTATTCCTACCTGCAATTTTTTGTTGCAACAACTTCAATCTCTGTTCGCTGATATGTCTTTCTCCATCCCTGCGCTTCATGTTCTTCTCCAACGTGTAGAAGAACGGACGACTCATATTGAAACCGGTTTCCATTTCGACATACGCTTTAATTTTCATCAGGTCGACTTTTAGTTGGAGAAAATCTTTGATCTGTAATAAAAGCATAATATTTCATGAGTCTTATCTATACAAATGTTTAAACTAAAGTATTTGAACATTGAATGAACCACTTGTGACTTGGATTCCTTCCTCTATATACATATATATATATATATTATATATTGTATACATGAATAAGTTGATCCATAAATATTAAAAAAAAGGTTTATTACCTCTTCCTTGACATATGGCGGTAATCGGCGTCCATGTTGTAGCTTGTAAAATTCTTGTAAAGACAGTTCATGATCGTGATGATTACACACATAGACTACGGTGAGTTCTTTCTCATTGGGTAGATGCCTTAATTTTATCTTGCAAGGGCAATCAGTCTTCATGTTATTGCTTCTGAAAAATATACAACAAACAGTTTCAAGTAAAGCTGTCAATGTTGCATAACGAATTAGTAAAAATAATAAATATCTTAATCAATATCTAATATTCAAATTCTGATGCACACACACAGCAAATTATGTAAATACTATTAAAAAAGCTTAGCATATAAATAAATACACAGGAAAATAATAATTTTAAAAGATCTGATGAGTAAAAAAGTTGATAATGCCTGCACCTAAGGTAAAATATGTCTTGGTCTATGACTGTCATTGTAACAACATTGAGGGATAGAATGCCTGGCAGCATGATGGTTCAGCTCCACTAGACATTACTCAAATATAGTCAGTAGTTACTAAAATTGTCAAAACTAATAAACCTTAATTTAATTAATATAAATGTTGCATTAGTGTAATTGTAAAACAAACATTGTGTGGGATATTATTTTATTATCAGTGAAAAAGAGTTATGATGGAGTTTCTGGCTAGTTCTTCTCCATTCAAAACTACAATTTGGAACGAGCACCAAGCTTCACTGACGAATAGACTGACAGACTACTACTCTATTTTGACTTTTCGAAAGTACCTATTTATGGTTTAGTTGGAATAAATGATTTTCATTTGATTTGATATAACATTCACAAACCTCTTTCTCAATCCTTTTTTCTTATACTTTTCTTTAGTTCTCAAGTAAACACAGTTATAAGTGTAAGTTTCATAGCCAGTGTTTGGGTTCCTTGAATCGGAACAGCTATAGTAAAAGCACCATCGCTTTGCATTCTCATTCAGGTACTGTACAAAATCATCGTGAGATTTGAACTTGTCTCCAGGCTTCACAAGTTTCTCATCTTCGTGTAAGAACAGTCCTTGATGATCGGTACAGTATTCACTGTATGGCAGGTAAATGAGTGCTAAAAATTAAAGTATATTATTGTTGGTTACAAGTGTTTGATTAAGTGCTACAAAAATGTAACTTATTTTACGTAACTCGGTACTTATAACATTTTACGTATACATATTCACCTTTTTTGGAATCTTGAACTTCTTCAAGACTCATTTTTATTGTTCTTTTATGAAGAACTTTTTAACAGTGCAATTTATCACCTGAAAATAAATAAGATAATCAATAAAAATTGTCAAAATTTTAACAGATGTCTTATGCATTTCATGCATTTATTTTTAATTCCATTTCTATACTAATATTATAAAGAGGTAAAATTTGTAAGTTTGTATGTTTGTAAGTTTGTATGTAGGGGGTAATGTTTGGAACTGCTGGTCGGATTGCCAAAATTCTTTCACTAATAGATAGCTACAATGTTCCTGAGTGCTATAGGTCATAAAACATCACGCTACGACGAAATTGAGCTGAGCAGTGTAAATAAGCAATAATATGGTAGTATCCAACTAGTCAAATTCAATACTTTTATCCAAATGTCATAAAACATCACTTTTTATGAAATTTTTATGACATAGTATTACTTATTTCTTAAAAATTAATTAATAAATATCAAAAATTTAGAGTATTGATTGATCAATGAATAAAAGTATAGTTACTTTTCAATATTTTATTGTAGAAACATCGAATTAATTTATTTTTGACCTACGAATCTACCCAATTAAAGTAAAACAATGATAAGCCATTCTATTAACATCAGTTCCTTAAGCCTTTGACTGCCGACAGAAAAATGTTGAAGGCAAATCCTCCGCTAACGGAGGTCACCGTTGACCCCCATGGCGTTAAACGTGTTAAACTAGTAGACAATCTTTTAGATTTTTATTATTTGAAGGTACACATACAATGTTAATAATGTGAGGCGTAGATTATGTACCATATCTTTGATATTGATTTTTTTTTATCTCTGAATTGGAATATGCAAGCCCAGCTCTTACTTAGAACAGTTCATAAAAAGCTATGCCAAAATAGATGGTATTTATAAAAAGAAAATGTCAACAGTCTTTATTTATTAAGTTGTAGAACATTCACTGATTATCAACTTTATTGAGGTCAAATCTTGCTATCGTCATTTAAATCATAAATATGTAATTGATGCACATAATATAAACAGTCAGAAAATAAAAATAAAATATATTTTACTTTCCCCTCTAGTTCAAAATTCTTAAACCTTTTTTATCCTGATCTAATGTTGTAACCAAAGGGCTTCAAGGACAAACTATAAATACTTTCATTTTTTATGTAAATATGTAAATCTTGATACCAGTACATAGCAAATTGATGATAAAAACTATTGATATTTGATGATAAAATTGAGACTATCAATAAGAAAACACAATTTTGTCTACACTTTGTATTAGGAACTAAACTAATGGCCAAGCATCGTTTATATTGTGCAACAGATAACCGATACAACATGAAGGACAGTAGTTAAATACACTAGCTATAGAACATAACTTTAAATAAAACAAACAATTTACGCTATTAGTATTATCTATTTAGTCCCAAAAGCATAATTTTTCATAAATGGGTTATGTTTGTACTCAAGCAACGGCCCCAACGCGTTTTTTGTTAAACGTTAATATAGCGTCTAAATATACCGCTTACCTAAATGCAGTCAATTCATGTGACTAAAGTAAAAATAAAAATGTAAACAAACTTTGAGTTTAGGGTGAGTTTTAAACACAATGTTTTCTTTCTCACATTCCCCTTCTCATTTGATAATTAGAATTTTTGACATGAGATGACTGATGCCACTGCCAGTTTGATGTAATGGACGTTTATGACGGGAAATAAGTATGGAAAAAAGTTCGGATACTGAATAATCAATAAAGGTTTATAGGTTTACTAGGGACTTTTTAGTTAAAAAAGTTCAATTTTCAAAATTTAAAATTATGAGTTTTTATCAAATCAAAACACAAAATTTTAACAAAATTAAATATTATTCATGTTTCCCATAGTTTCAAAATCATGCATTTCCGAATGAATCTATTGAAAACAAATAAATTTGATTACATTGTGTGAGGTATTTAATTACTAAATTACATAATAATTAAAAATTACTATATAATATGTTGTCTGTACGAACGCATGATTTTAAGAATGTTGATTAGCTCTTAACCGGCTAATGTATAGAACCTACTGTCTATAACCAATACCTTTAACTACTTAAGCTGTAAGCCTACCTTATTATTTATAATAAATAAATATGTACCTTTACGCGTAATAACATTTTTAGGTGGGTCACCTTTTATTTCTTCACTTTCACTCATTAGTCATGAACTTTCCTAGATTTTTCCAGACAGGGCCAGTGTCCACAGACCCTTAAAACAGTTTTAGCGGAATAAACCTTAACTCCTAGTTACAGCTTGGCTTAAATCTGACGCGGTGAAATTTGGAACTAAAGAAGTCGGTTAAAAAAAGGTTTGCTACAGCAAGACGGCAATAGGTACTGTTAAAACGCCAACTAGGTAGGTAGGTACTAGTAGTTTCTGTGTCAAAATACAATAAATTCGTATTACTTCATAATTTTTTACATTATTTCACAACGATTAATGGTTACTTGTTCGTTCATAATGATTAAAACTACTCGTATACTCGCCGAGAAGAATATTTAGATATGATGAGATTTTTTGAAAACACTAGACTATCAATTTATGCCATATTCTTTTAGTTTCTATAAAAAAAACAATCAACCGAAAGGAATGTTTCGTGTCCATGACATTTACTGGGTGCACAACTTTCAAATTTATTAGATACTTTTAATTTTAATATTTATCTTATTTTAGGAACCTACCCCTAACCCTACATTCAATAAATGCAATAATACTGCTGCAAGCAGTAATAAATAAATATTAAAACTTTGCTACACAAATAATTGCTGTAACTGTTAAAACAAAATTACCTATATATTTATTAAAATGACAAAAGTATCAAGACCTGTAGCTTCATAGTATTTGGGGTAGCCATATGATAAACAGTCGCGAACTCAATTTTTCCACACTCTTTTTGCCAAGCCAGCCTGGCTAAAAAGAGTCTAAAAAAACGGAAACACTATGAAATCATCAACTAGGTACGTCGTTTCCATGTGTCAAAAAACAATTCCGTCGTGTAATTTCACTATTTTTTACTTTATTTCGCAACGATGATGATTACAAACGGTGATTACAATTATTATTCGTCGTATATAGTAGTGAAGCAGTCATATGTTAAGTTTACTCGAGATATGTAGCCAAATCTGAAGCGGGAACAATTTTAAATCAGAAACTAGCTAGTGCTGCGGGCTAAACCGCGTTAGCCCGCAGCACGGCTCCTGCAGATAATAGCGTGATGTTATATTATTATAGCCTAAAGCCCTTACGCTAGCTATCCTTGATAAATTCTATTCAGCAAAAAATAATTTTCAATTCGAACCAGTTCCAGTTCCTGAAATTACCGCGTTCAAACAAACAAACTCTTATTTTCTTGTAGGTCTGTATGTTTTCTACAAAGAAGTTTACATTTTAAAATTAGCTTTTATGATGTCAAATAAATATATTTTTTAATTATTAAGTTTCTGTTCATATCATTATAATAATAATTGTTTTAAAATTCCCTTGCAAAATCAATGTTTTTAAAGTAACAAACATAAAATATGAAAGACAACTTTTTATAGTGTCATCTGAAAATGAGGTACCGATTTAATTTTAGTAATTTACTAATACCCAATAAAAAATATCTAAAGAGAAATATTTTTTCTGTATCACGTAAATGTCAATTTTGACATGATAAGCGAAGTCAAAACATGAAAACAAGAAAAGGAAAATAAACATGTGAACATCATGGCATTGTGTCGAAAAACACTTTAGTTGTGAGATAAATACAAACAAGTCACAGCATTTTGAAATCTCCAGTCTTAACCGTGAATCATGATCGTTGCTCTTCAGACTTTGGTATTTTTCCGTGAATCGTTGCTGTCTGCATTGGACCGTTTCTTACGGCCTTACTATAAGCACTTGACTTTAGCTTTCACCCGGAGTGGGAATGTTTTGGAAGATGAAGAATCTGATGACGAAGTGTTCGCAGAGTATGATGATGAGAAAGGTGTTGTATTTTTCCCGCCGGTGTACGCTCAGCGTTATGCCGCAGTCAGCGACTTGCTCATGGATGAACGTTGGTGCGGGAAACTCGAAAAGGTATTATTTTACGAATACCCAGGTACTGCGTACTTCATTCCTTTAATGTTTGGAAAATTGCGCAACATATTGTTTACCTTAATAAATAATTGGTCATTATATTGTTTGTGTCAAGGGAAAAAATTATTTGTGCCAGTCTAAGTTCTAAACATGATATACATATATTGATGATTTTTATAGTTTAATTGTTTACCTATTACATTACACAAGTGAAGAAGTGGTAACATGAAGGTTGCAAAATAGGTTTTAGGTTCTAACAAGTGGTGGGCTTACAACTCATAATCTAACTTTCAAATAAAGAATGCCAGCTTATAATTCGTTACCAAAAACATTTAATTATGCTATTGCAGGTAGTGGATTTTGGCCACCATGATATGAGTTTTATTAAGTACTTGAAGGAAGTTCCTGGCATCCGTTACATTCTTGGTGTGGATATTGAGACTATTCCTCTGAGGTGTTCCTCTGATCTGCTCAGTGGGGATGAGTATTCTCCGAAGAGGGAAAGTCCTTTGCAAGTCACTGTAAGACACTCCTTATTCCTACTTTTTTTTATAAAATATTGAAAGAAATATATAATAGAAAATATATTCATCTGTCTGTCACCAGACTATATATTATGAGTCATGGACCGTAAGTCTAGCTTGTACTTGGCTAGTTTTTAAATCTTATGAGTCACATAATAGTAAGAAGAATAACCATTTCATTAATCAACTTCTGGTTTGATTTTGCTTATTTGTTTTCTTAATATCTGAAAGTAAATATAGTAAATTTTATTTCCAGCTATTCCAAGGTAATGCAGCAGATCCAGATTACCGGCTCATTGGCTGTGATGCTGTCATTGCAATAGAGATGATAGAACACATGCTTCCCCATGACCTGGAAAGACTAGTCCACACTGTATTTGGATTTATTAAACCGTGGGTAGTTATATTTACCACACCCAATGCGGATTTTAATGTCCTCTTCAAAGCTTTGGAGAAGAATGGGCTCCGTCGAATGGATCACTTTTTTGAGTGGACAAGGGAACAGTTTAATGATTGGTAAGTATTGATAACATGTTTTCATATAATTGAAATTTTGTGGACAGTTTATCCAAATGTTTCTGCTACCAATTGTTATTGCATTAAAATACTAAGCTATTAAATAATAGTTTGTCAGGGCTGTCCAAACTAGATGGGAACCTACTTAAAATATCACGCCGGTAGAAAACCAAACCGGCGAATAAAGGCATACAGTAATAAAATGATGAAAACATTAGGGGTCTGCAAAATGTTGACTTATAGTTATGCCTGCCAATGAAATACTAGTACTGGTTTGGGGATTCTCAAATTAGTTTAGTTTTACTATTTTCCTATGCAGTTTTTTAGACTTTCCTAATTATTAAAGTCAGCGAAATAGTAATATTACCAGCATTTGTTTATTTATACAAAAGGTGGTAGTATCTTTCAGTGACAACACTGAAGTGATAGTTTGTTAATTTTTGTGTTATTGAATGATAAAAAAATACTAAAATTCTGTTACTTGGCGATTACAGGTGCAGTAACATAGTTGTTAGGTATCCAAATTACACGGTGACTTGTCGAGGTATAGGTCCTGGCCCTCCAGGAACTTTGCACCTTGGCTGCTGCAGTCAACTGTGTTTGTTCATTTCCAAAAACTACCACAAGCAGGCAGATCTTCATATCAACAGTTTGGCTTTAGTTGAAAGTAAGTATTTTATTCTTATCTGAGTGCCTAGTACGAGTTGGCCCTTCTCATGCTGAGAAGGTCTGCAAATTAAACTTTACGCTAGTTTGATGTGGATTGGGAATTTTAAACTTATAATTAGAAAGTATAAATATTATTTTATTTGGTCAGGCAACTTATCTAACTTTTTTCCGCAGATGCACCAACTCCTAATAACTTTAGCGACATATTAGTTTGGGAGAGTTCGGTGGATACTAAACAAGAAATCGAACACGGTGCGACCCTAGCTAAACCTGAAACGTAAGTAGTATTTCAGATTGGTAAATATGGTGGATGAGCCAAAAAATGTAGATACTTATTTTTTAATGATGCTGGTAAGTAATCGGCGCTGCCAATGGACACCTGCATCAGAGTTGTGGGCCTTTTGGGTATTAGGGTTTCGGATATTTAACGATTGGGGATGTGAGAGCCATGGGGGAAGGATTGGGCCTCCGGTAACCTCACTCACACTGCGAAACGCCAGCTGTGGTTGTTTCACGCCGGTAGAAAACCGGTAAGGCCGTGGTATCGAGCCGAACCTTTGCGTGCCGAAGCTTGGCCTTCCCACACTTCAATTATATTCTTTACTTGATGCCTACCAGCCTACCATTGTAGGGATGATAACATTTTTTTAAATATCCGTCTTTTAGATTAATTTAAACATAAGGTAAAAAAAAGTCAAAAATAATTTATTCCAATAAAGACCCTTACACTTTTCACAAACAAAATTTTAACGTGTCTGTCAGTCCTCTTAGTTAAGCTATTTGCTCATTCTAACGTGTAGATTCCGATGGAGAAGAACGAGTAAGAAAGTCCATGGTTACTCTTTTTAAATCAGTTTTACATACAGATTCCTTCTACACACAGTTGGTTCAATTATGTGAGACCAGTGTAACACTAATATTTATTCATTTAATTATTGGGACAATTAAATTCATTTATATGTTTTTAATTTTCGTCATTCATCATTCTCTTTTTCATCAGTCCTAAATTCCTAATTTTCCAGTGTGGAGTCTCTAACCGAGATCTTTTACCCAGAACAACAACCACATTTAAGGGTTGTAATATCCTCAACCCTTTGCAACTCGATGCCTTATTCTGATCCAACCTTTACCATGAAGTCCTACACTTATAGAGACCAAACTCTTCAATGTAACCTCGATACTGAAATAGGAAAAAGTTTTTTAATGTTTGATAATGAAGACTATTATCATGTCTTGGTACCAAGGAGGCGGGTTATCCATAAAGTGTATGAGATTGAAGATGTCTTTAGCAGGTTTTGTGATTTTCGTCTTTTAAATGTATTACACTAATAGTTATTTCATCTTGATCGTTTGTATGTAGGCAATATTGTTTTTCATGTGATAGGTATCTTATTATTCATATTTTCTAATTAATAAGGTAAGAATCTATACATTAAAACATTCGTAATTTTTTTTTCGTGTGGTCGTAATGCGTCATATGTATCACAATGGGCCAATAAGTCATAATGAGTCAAAACCATATTATTTTGTTTTTAGAATTAAGTAAATTAATTATAGTTATTAAAACCTGTGTTGTTGTTACTTCTATGCACTAGATTTAGAAGCTCGTTGGTAAAATTACTCACAAGTTCAAATTTCGAACATCATGTTCTAAATTGATCTCAAATCTCCAGGCTAAACTGCACAACATTGCAAGTGAAGAAATTCTCGAAGACCACACAGAATTTGATGGCCAAAAACAAGATAGACTCTTTGGTTCACACCAGGGAGGTTGTGAATGAGATACGACACCTCACCAAAACCTTAAACTTGAACAAGTTCAGTCGGCCTGAAGATGGACATCACATCTGGAGTAATATCAACTGGGGTGAAAACGCGCCTTATTGGAACCAGTATTACAAAATTGTCAAAGAATACATCTATCCGTTTGAGGTGAGATTTCTTAAGAATAAATATAAAATATTGTTAAGATCTTGCATGCTTAAATCTGTGTGTAAACGCATGTCGCGACAAATAAATTATCATTTTCATTTTTCATCATTCAATTGCGTGCCAGGGATGGCACGCAATTGAAAATGAATTATCGATTTTGATTAATAATGACATTATGAGTGAGCGCAAAATCGATAATGTCAACTAAATTGACTTGATGACATTCTTCACAATAATATCAGTTTTTTCCTAAGACGATCAATGTGAGACATTAGTTAAAATAAATTCTTGATAAAACTTTTACAAAACTTGTTCTGGATCAATATTTATTACCTATACTAATATTATAACCCGCGCGGTTTTACCCGCTGCTTGGCTCCATTTGATCGTAGCGTGATTTTTTATAGCCCATTAATAGCACTCAGAAACGTTGTAGCTGTCTATCAGTGAAAGGATTTTGGCAATCCGACCAGCGGTTCTAAAGATTACCCCCTACATACAAACTTACAAATTTTACCTCTTTAATAATACCTATTAGTATAGATAACCCTTATAAATCTACTAAGTATATTTTTTTATATTTTTCAGACGAAATCCGACGAGGTTAGAATTTTGGACCTGATATCTGAAGAGATCAACCGTCTGATTGACATGCAGTATGACGAGGAGTTCTCCGTCGATATGAACAGGCTGGAGATTCCGTTGTCTCATCTCATGACTGTCGTACAACATATTACCGATGACGTCGATAGAGTGCGGTTAGTATTTTTACTGTAATGAGTATTTGAACTGAAGAAAAGTCTTGCGAATTTCTCACTTAAATAAACTCAGAGACCCTTATTTATGGCGATAACGACGTCGCCGCGACGCGCGCGTTGCGTTGGCAGTGTTATAATATGATTTTATATTATGTTACTTGCAAGAATTGAACAAATAGAAGAGTTATTTAATCACAGGACAATGTCCTACCTGTTTTTTAACTATCTCATGAATTTGAATGAAATCTCGGTTTAAGATCCCGATGTGTCTTGAAACTAGCTACTGTCTCCTATAAGCCACGTGTGTAGGTTTTATATTGCAACCAGCCTCTTGAATTTCAAACAAAACGCGCAGAATCAAATAACCAGGAAGATGGCAATTTCCCTACTTCCTTAATATTTTGTTCACTTTGAAGTATTCTTATATTTTTTATCATATCATACTACTATAGATCTTGCACTACCTACAGTATGACTGACAGACTGGCAGAAAATGCTGTTGGAATTAAGTCCTCCGATATGCAATAGTATATGAAGAATACTTAAATAAGTAATTGACCATATTTTTGTCTTTCCCAGAGATCTCCTCGAATGGAATGGCTATGAGGTTGTGAACGACGTGGTGATCCACTCGCGTCTCATCGTGGACAATACATCAGTCGCCACGCAGGATGACGAGTGGCAGGACAACGACACCTTATCTGATGTAATTCAATTCTGAACTGATATAATTATGTACTAACTGATAAACTTAGTAATGACTTGGAAGTGACCGACTTAACCTATGTCCATCAAAAATATCTGGGTCGATCTAGTTTTCGAGAGAAAATTGATACTAGTTAATGGAAATAAATCTAGAAGTCGGTCAATTCCAACCCTTGATATCAGTAGGTTTGTTTACTAGTTAGTAGTAACTGGAAATAAGATCATCATTGTCAGGTATTTGTAATATTTTACCGAACAGTTTACCCAGATATTTGTACTAGCCTTCGCACGCCAACAAAAGTAATGCATCCCTTGATTAAAAAAAACAACGTTTAAACCGATAGCTCGACTAAAAATACCAAAATCATCAAGTATAATTTAGAGCCTTTACCACTCAAGAATATTGCAGCTATCTATCAGTGAAAGAATTTTGGAAATCTAACCAGCGGTTCCAAACGTTATATTAGTATTTATATGCGCCATTAATTGATCACATTACCCATTAAATCATTAATTTAAAGTTTGAAACAACTATTAAGTATCGTTTTTTTGTTTATAATGTATTCTTTCACTTGTAAATGTATCACTGTGTTCGATTGAATTAGTAGTTAGGACCTCAAAGTTTCATATTTCCATTACTTATGCTTAAGAACTAAGTTGTTTCTCATTGCCATGTAATTAGTAATTATTAGTTATGGTAAGTTATCTGACTGATATTTTAGAATTTAATGTAAGCGCAAGCGATCGTTGACGCTCGTATGCGCGCGCTTTTTTGTTATGTGAATATCTCCTACACATACACAGAATTACATCTGTATTGATGTGTGAATCGATACCGTCTTTCATTTTTCTTTCGTCGCAAGATAGAACATTATAGATCCATGTTAAAAGTAAATTTTACCGTTTAGAGTCTTCAATTCGTGCTGCAAAACAGCTTTATTTGACCTAGTTAATAGTGATTTGTTTAAATATATTTACGTTACGTGTTACGTATTTTATTTTAAGTAAAACACTAATTAAGTTTATGTTAAACAGTTTCTATCTAGAAGCATAAGCGTCGCGTGTGATGTGAACTGTTTTTTTTATTAAAATGTATTCAAAATTATATAGTTTTATTTCACATCTTGGTTATCGTAGAATCATAATTACCATGTGGTCGAAGCCAGGAGTAGAAGAATAGTTTACTCCTTAACAACATTCTGTCGGCGGCTGAAGCTTGGCCCCCAAACATGTTATTATTTTTAATCTAAGCTTTTTGTTTGCAGTGGGACACTGACGTTCGTTCCACATCGTTGTCAGATAGAAGTACGATAGTACCGGACCTTACTGGTTTGAAATGTTTCTTATTATTTCTGTAATGGTTTCTAGCGTATCTTCGTAGATGTAGGTTCTAGTAAAAAGCTTTTGTGGTTTTTTATGTTTGAATAGCACGAGAGTAACCTAAACATGATACAAAAATGTCCCTACTAAATACTTGAAATACTTAGAAGGATTATATTTTTGCTTTTTTCATTGTTGTGTATATCTAATGCTACTTATTAGTAGCAACAGCTTGTAAGGTAAAGAATATTTGTCTTTTCTGTCATTTTTTGGAAGATTTCTTGAAATTTAAGGAAACAAATTAACAGTAATTCATTCATATAGGTACATTTAGATACCTAAATAGATGGGAGTTTCCCGCCTTAAGGGACGGTTGTGTAGACTATTGACTAATATAAATTATTATTTCTATGATTGGTATGACTAGTACATATCCCTAGCCCCAGTAATCGCAAAAACGTCATTGAGCATTTACTGCATTTGAGAAAACTAAGTGAATATTTTTCCTATTTTCCCCCAAAGGACGTTGTCTACGTCGCGCTTTAGACCAAAAAGTTCGCAATTTACGAACGATGTTAATAGCAGACGAAGATATTACCACGGAATTGGACAGGGTGGTTTGTAGGCTCATGAAGTTAGCGCTGCAGTCCAGTAGGGCGCGCCAGACACCTCCCCCGTCCAGGTGGATGCAATGCAAGCTTCTTGATCTCCTCACTCTCACAGAGAAAGCTATAGGGCGGCGCAAGAAGCAGTTTATTGAAAACTATCCAATCTTGGCTATAGGTATGTGGTTCCTTATTACTTTATATTTTACTTAGGAGATTCCTTTTTCGCCATAAGTTTGAACTTAACAAAACTGATTTATAAAAGGCTTTGAGCGGATTTATCCGAGAAAAGTATATCATTAATTCTGTATAGCCTTGAAAAAGTTTGAAGTTCTATTTGTGAAGGTTGTAAGAACTGTGGATAAAATATTTATTTATGTAGATGGAATTTTGTGTTGGGAATGTCTACTACTGATCGGATGTGTGTGTACATTGTGATCACACTCTTTACACTTGAGTTATCCGTCAAAAATATGTAACATATTAATGATTTTTTATCTTAATAAAATCTTTCAGAGGGAGTTAAACCGCCGGACCTTGAACTGGACCAAGATTCTAGAATGTGAGTAAATCATTTAACGTATTTTATACTAAAAAATATGGTAAAATACCCTAACATCCATCTGCATACAATACTTGCAATGCAATATTTCTTTGCAGAAAAGAAATCGTCGAGAAATATCGTCATTTTATACAACCAATAGGTAAAATTAATGCGAATTTCAAATTATTATTTAAGTTATTTTTCACATTGTAAGCTACCTATATTTATTTTCATTAGAGAAAATGACGAATACGGATGATACAAATTATCAAAATACTGACTTGGATGTAGAAGACGAATTTCTAAGTACGACCAGCAACGAGTTCTTGAAAGGTATGCTAATTTGATTCTGTTATTTTAGTTGTGTAATTAAGAAGTAGATAATATTTGTGTGCATACTTACATAACACAATGTAAAAAAAACTTATTTATCCATCAACATTTTGATCTTCGTCATAAGTGCTTACTGCTGAGTAAAGGCCTATTCTCAAACCGAGGTTTGAGCATTCATCACCATGCTTCTTGAAGTATAACTTAGTTTTTCTCTGCCACTGATGAAAATTACCCTTTTAATGTACCTCCGTTTGAGAACAGACCTGGGGACCTACTCTTATTCTACGAAAAACGAACTTTCGATCGAAACTTCGCGTGTTTCCTACCACGGTTTCAATTCGTGCCGAAATTTCGTTCGAACGAAGACGTTTGACATTTAGAACCTACTCTAATCCTTATTAGCTCCGAACGAACTTTTGAATTTGACAGACGATTTTTCGGATTTTTTACTTCAAATTGACGAAACCAAAAGTGTTACCTTTTCATTTTCGTTTAGTGTGGATTTTGTATTAAAGTTGTTTGAAATGGCTACAAGCTGGCTCTAAATCGAAGCTCTTTTACGTGAAGAACGTGTAGAGCGTAGAAGGAAACGGCGCTGCCTGCGCAATCTACTTAATATACCCAAGTCAAATTCCGGACTTAGAGTTTCTAGGACAGGAAAGGGCAAATAAATAAAAACACACTTAAAAAAATAACTGATTTTTATATCCTAAAGTTCTGCACTTATTAAACAAAAAGTAAAAACTTATTATCCTTTTAAAATAAATTTCAATTTTCTAATAGAACAAATATAACAAGGAGTATAATTTTAAACAACTTATTGGCATTTTATATAACATTAAAACAATATCGTTACTGTAACACATCAAAGTACTTATATGAAGTTAACATAAATGAGCATTATTACCATATACTGCTCAAAATAAAAATATCACACATTGTCCTCCCAGTTACATACATTTGTAACTGAACATGAGTGTAATATGAATGGCTTTGTTTTAGCTCTATTGCATTATTTTATAAAAATATTAAGTTATTAACATTGCATACATTTTTATCAAATTCAACGACAGTTTTCTTTTCAGATAATTGGACATTTAGCTTCGACTCGCTTTGTCACACAGTCTTCTTCCACCACTACACAATCAATATTAACGCACAGCTATATTATTATTTGCATTAGTTCTTTGTTCTTCCACATTCCTCACATGTTCTGCTAACACCAATTTTACATTTTAGCACAGTCTGGGGTTGGAAAATGATTGTGTGTTTATAACACTCAAAACCTGTTTTTATAATAATATCCATTTTTTATACAATTCAATAAAATTCCTTTCTCCACATATATTTATTGTCTTTTATAGTATATTTTATTAACTCGTGTTGATAAAATTAAACAATCTGTTGACATTAATTTTTGACACATGTCGTGCACTGTCCGAATACAGCTATTTTTGATCGTCATACATAACAAGCCTTTTTTGGCATGAAATAGTACTCTTTAAATTAGTCGGTTATAAATGTCTGTAAAAGAGTTTTTTATAAAGTAACGATAATAAATTACACGATAAATTACAATTCCGTCAAAAATAAATATATTTTTATTTTCTGCGTGGAATATTATAAGTAATAGTTTTACAAACCACATACATAATGTGGAATTTAAAGAAACAGCCAGAGAATTTGTAATTTTAACTTTAAGTAAAAACCGTAATTTACCACAAATCACATTATAAAGAACCTACACAATTACATTCGTTCACGAAAATTATCTCTGGATCGAACTTCGTATGTGTGTCCGAAAATAAAACAGAGTAGGGTCGTCAACGTTCTTTCGTTCGAGTTTCGTTCGTTTCCGAAAGTTTCGTTTCGAAGAAAGAGAGTAGACCTCCTGTAAAGGTCTTTGAGCATTCATCACCATGTTTCTTCAAATGTAACCTAGTTATTCTCTGTCACTGATGAAAATTACCTTTCTATGTTAACACCGAGGAAACCGTAGCATTGATATTAATGATTAATTACTTATTTTGGAACATTTAAATATTTGGAAACATCCCCATTACTAGTTTAATCTTATCACATTACGAAAACTATTTCCAGATGATGAATACATTAAAGGTATTTCTCCAAGTTTGGTTATGCCTCAGCCAGTATTCAGCACGGAGAATTTCGTAATCGCAGAGTCGCCGCCTATAAACGACAATCCGTTAGAAAGAACAAAAGCTTGGTTAGACGATGACATCGAAGCGACTACATTCCCCAAACATGAAGTAAACTACGAAAACATAAGTTCTGGTGATACAGATCACAGTCTTACTAACACAAGACACAAGCAAAAGAAATCAAACAAGAGACAAAACATAAATAAAAAAGATTTCAAAGAATCTAATGCTGATTCAAAATTTTCGTTGCACAGCAAAGTTTCTTCCAAGTTTAAAATTAAACGAGATGATAAACATAAAAAGAAGAATGGTAATACAAAGCCCACGAAGAAGTTGCCGAAAAAGAAGCCAAGTTATAACACTTTGATCAAGAAACAGTATTCATCACCTGAGTACGATACTTACGCGGTCAAGTCGAAGAGAAAAAGTAAAGAGAATCACTCTTTTAACGTTTCTGCATCAAAACCGGCAAGTAAACAACAGCGATTATTTATAATAAGTAGTCATTTATAGAACTACCTTTTCATAAGTAGTGATGATTTCAGATTCCAGAAAGTTTAATAGAACTTTGTCATCCGGAAATGAAGGTTTGTCAGCCTTCAGGTGGGCAACCTCGTATAACAACGAATAATATTGACACTAACCATAACGTTGTTATTGCTAAGATGCCTGATTGTGACATCTCTGCAACCGAAGAAAGTTACCTTGTTGACATTGTTATGCAAGACTTCGAAGAAACTGTAGCATTGCGTAGAACTGTAGGAACGGATGCAGAAAAAAAGCTTTCTGAAGCTGAGTATGATATAGGAAGTCTAAATAACGATTTTGATGAAACAATGTGTCCCAAACATGAAGTGAGCTCAGAAAATGTGCAGTCACAAACTATTTTTCTTAACGGTAAATAATTTTTATCTTTAAAATCAAATAGCCGTTTTGTTTCTTTTTGATGATGACTTTAATGTTTTCGACTTATTGACTTATTATAATATTTTTGGGATTCACTTTCAAACACCTTTTTTAGATATAAACGAACCGAGTACTTCAAAAGGGATTCGTCACAATATTAGCACTGACGTACAATGTGGCCCTGATACTTTTGCTACGCACCCGATGCTATCTGCATCTACGTCTTTTGTAAAGATACCACCCGTATTTACAGCAGGCGTTAAGATTCAAGAAGTAGGAGATGACACTAATATGAAAGGGATAGATATTGGTACATCTACCCAAGTTACTAACACCACAACTATAACACCAAGATTGAGATCGGTTGGAATTAAAATAAAGGATTCTGACGTAAATTTAAATGATAAAACGGAATCTTGTACAATGACCGTTCAAGATTCTATTCTTCAAACGTCTGGGATGTTTAGTTACTCTCCAAAACGCAGCTCGGGTAGAAACAGCATAATATCATCTCCTGAAACTAGATTGTTGAAACCCATATCGAGTTATCTGAAAACCGAGGATTCAGGGTCAGAATTCTGTGAACCAAGTATTGCGAGTTCTTCAAAAACTCATACGTTTTTTGTGAATGCATCTATAAATGCAAGTCAAGTTTTAGTTAAGTCTCCTCCTGGGAGCAAAGATGTAATAATAGAAGCAAGCTCTAGCAAAAATATGCGCCCTAGACTATCTTGTGGAGGTGTCCATGTCCACAGCTTCAGAGATAAAGAGACTTCTGAAGATGTCGTTTTCCAAGGACAGTGGCAGCGTCACAAACCTAAAGCGTGTACACGAAAAAGGTCCTGCAATTTTACGTCTTTCAGAAAAGCAAATGAAGCGGCCGTAAAGAAAAATAGAGAAACTTTAAAGGAGAAAGGATTGGGTTCCAAGGAAAAAATGTTTAGGAGAAGACAGGATAAAAAACAGATCGAAGCAGATATCAAGAAACCCATTCAAGTGAGAAATACAAAGCCACAAAAATTAAAACTAGATGAAAAAAGTCAAACAAAGAAACCTGTTACTAGTGCTAATAAATTATCAATCACAGCAAATAATATTCAAAGACCAGTAAAGACGGTAACCAAGGTAAATAATGCTACCAATATTATCGAAAGAAGCTGGGCCATTGTTTATTAATTTTATTTTAATATTACAGGTGGCATCTAAAATAGGAATGAGGTATTGTGTGTTTTTATTCTATGCAATATTAAAATTTACATTTATTGCAATAATATAATTTTTCTAGTGTCATCTCAAAGACTACAAAATCTACGTTCACCGTGAAAAAACCTTCAATATTGTCTAATCTAGCCGGTAAAGAAGACAATGATAAACCGAAGAAATTAAAGAAAAGTTACATACCTTTATACTTGCGGTTAAGAAAAGCTGCACTGTTATCAGACAACGACAAAGAAAACATAAACCAAAATGTAGATTCTGTATGTGGACAAGATACCCTGGACAAAGAAAATCGTAAAATAGTTCAAAATGTTCCCATTCAAGACGTAAAAAATGATTTGCTCAAATTTAGCGACGAAGTACGTGAAAATATTAGTTACTTGGTTTTTCGTAATGAATTACAAGACAATGTAGAATCACCAGAAGATTTATCAAGTGGGAGTACTGTAGATCACAGTAAAAGTACTCCTAGGCCTTTAGAAGCTTTGAAACACTCCCAAAGTGCCCAGTCTTTGAATAGTTCCACTTGTTCGTCACCAAACAGTGTTGCTACTGTTAGGGCAGTCGTCACACGCAGTAAGATTCTGTCCCACAGGAGACATTCTACATCATCTTATAAAAGTAATTTGACTACGAATAGTGAATCAGATGGCACACCAACTAAAATTAAGAAAGTTATCAAAAGGTGCAAAACTGTAAAAAAGGCTGAAACTAAAGATGTTAATAATAAGGAAAACGTTCCGGAATCAACACAAAACTTTGCGACTAAAGACAAAGATAAGTTATCCAAGTTAGCTTTTAATAGTAGACACAAAAGTGTCTATATAGCGCAAATTAAAACTGAAGGTTCACCCCCGCCCAACACTCTGTCGCGACATAAAACACAAATAGCCAATAAATCGAATATCATAATAGCTGCACGGAAAGACAGTGACGAAAAACGACGCGCAAGTGGACCTACAGTTTCAAAGAAAAAGTCAATAAAATCTGATACATCTTCGGCATATGAAGATTTTATCACGTGTCAGTCTGATTCTTGCGAGAGTTCAGATTCCACGAATATGGTTCTTGTGTTGGAACCACAGTTAAATTACGACAATATTCTGGATTTGCAAAACATTTCGCTTATTCGTAATACGGAATGTAATGTAGATCCTACCAGTCATTTAGTGCCAGAATGGGTAAAAAACTCGAGTTTACATAGTCGCGCAAGCAATATTTTTGACTCTGTGAGACGAATATTGGAAGATGCATTAGATTTAGCCATTAGGCCAGGTGACCATAGTACGCGCCATTCAGGTTCTAAAACGGTGATTCTGAAAGAACCAAATCATGAGGTTCTTGATAACCGAGATGACCCCTCAGATGCCAAAGCAGTCACTGAACCTGATACCACACAATTTTTAGAGCGTGTTATAGAAACTGCTTTGGATAAAACCTTCGACACTGTTCTTGGCGACGAATTAAACACTGTTGGTATAAACGACACGAGGTTAACTGCTGTTGATTTGGATATGTTATCATTTAATTCGATTACATCAGTTTCAAAAATATCTACTGATAATGAACTCAACGTGCCCCTAGAGACAGAACAGGCACATTCTACAGTATCATCACAAAATACAACCTCCGTGCAGGACATATTTGAACGGAAAGAACCGCACTTAATTCAGGTACGCTAGAAACTAATATTTTCTATTGGTAGCTAAGGCTTCATGGCGATCCATCCTCTTTATATTAGAAGGGTTTTAATATTGTTTGAAATTCCAGAATACACCGGGTGCACTTGCAGTGCAAGCATTCAGTGGTTTTTCCCTCGACGTGGAGCCCGTAGTTGGTGATCAACCTGATCCAGTCGCACTTATTGATTCGGAAACAGGCAGTCCAGCGTTACAGTTTACTAGACTAGCTGTAAGTAAATCTTCCTAAATAACTTTGAATAAATTACACTTTGTGCAAACAATTGTATTTTGGTTTTGTAATCTAATATTTTTCCAGACGTCAGAAGAATTATTTATATCGGGTCGATCATCAGACAGTTATGAGTCATGCCTTATAGATGATGATACGGTTGTTCCGACTTGGTTGTTCCAACTTATCAGTCAGCAACAGTCTGTAAGTTTTTCACAAGTGATTTTAAGTATCATGTTAGAAAATATATTATCGTCTTCTTAATTTTATGCTGAATGGAGCGCCTAGAATGTTGAACTTTTTTTTTTCAGGTACTCCATTAAGCATAACGAAATATAAAGCGCCTGGGCGACATCAGTCATGATCCTTACACACCCCTATACCTGATACTGCGTAGGGTATGATAGCGAGCGCTGCGAACTACATAATTAAGCTTTGAATAGGTGGAAGATGATCGGGAGCCAGTCCTTCTTGGTCCTGTGGCCGCCCCGACCAATGAACCGATGTATGACGCGAATGGAAACGTTATTGAGCCTTCCCTGATTGGTGTCAGCGCTGGCGCTGGTGACGGACGAGGCATACATAGTGACCACTCGCAAGATAGCTCGGGGAGAGGCACCTCACTTAGTTCCAGTGATACCTCTTCAGGACCACAGAGTGCAGTCAGTGTGAGTGGAGTTTGATGTTATACTTAATTTCAGACTTGTATCCTAACGGCATTAGGAATTTTCAGAAATAATCTTTTTCTTGATAGGTATCTATCAAGCGATTTGATCATTTTATTTATTTTTCATTGCCAGACTATCCTTATCGACCCGGCATTTACGACTCCGTTAGACCTTCTTCGGGATCCTATGTCCAGTTCTGCGGTGTTGCAGAGCGAGCCTCACTCATCTGACCGGACTTACAGAATAAACAGTAAGTAAATTTTCTAAATTAACGGTGATTCATTCTTTGGTGTCGTTTCTTAGAAAATACTCTCTTACAAAAAAAAAACAATTAATGCGGACAGAAGTTTTAAAAGTTTTTAGTGACGATAAAATTCTATGTAAAAGGAATAATAAAAAGCACAATAAAGTCACGTGGCTCGTCTACTCGGCTGCCTTCTATTCCACAAAAAACTAACGTTGAGCTACGGACTTGTAAGAGTAGTGTATTAGTCGAAATATTTAATATAGTTTTCATAAAATCACTTTGGTTTTAGATGACCTTCGTATCGACAGAACGGGAATTCTAAGCGGGGCGAGTGACGTTGACGCTGACGTAAGCTCTATCGATACTGATGTCCCCGACCTATCTGATAATTGAAAATAAGGGCATATGGTACAAAGTTGTGACATTCTGTATAAGCTAATAAAACATTTTTTCAAGTAGTTATGTCGTGTTAGCGAGAGACTAGATACTACCATTTGAGAACAACTTCTAAATTGGAAAGATATCTTTTATAATTTATTATACTTTAAAATTGCTTAATTTATAAAGTAAATTTTCGTATCAGTTCGTACTATAAAATCCGGTTTAATATGCAAAGAATGTGGGTTCTAACAGATTGCTAGGGGTGACTTTAAGACACCAGACGAAAATTTTGTTTTTCTAGAAAATTTAAGTTGTATGTCGCCGCCTCGGCGCATTGTATATATTGGCGTTCTAATAAATTATTTGTTATCTCGATATAGAATGGTTTTATTTGTTTAGAGATAGCAATAATGTATGGAATAAAAATGTAGTCTCTAAAAATGTGGTCTCTCACTCTATCCGTAAAGCTCAAGGTCGCTGAGCGCGCTATTGAAATGGCTATGTTCAGTATTTCTTTCCGTGATAGAATGAGAAATGAGATCCGCAAACGAACAAAGTCGCCAACATAGTTGCGGGCACATTAGTCTGTGAACCGATGGCCGATGGCTCAGAAAGGTCATCGAATAGATGTCAAGCATTGGCAAGCGTAACGTAAGATGCCATACATGACGTGGTCAGACGACATACTTAAAGTTAGAGTGAGCCACTTCCAATCAGCCTTTATGGAAATCTTGGGAAGAGACGTCCACTGCTAAATATACGCCTATGTTCAGCAGTGGACGTCTTGTAGTTACGCGACGATGTCGATGATAATGTGTCGACGTAAAGAATCCATGCCCGCCGTAGCAAATATTCAGTCTCGCCGTAGCAAGTAACCACTCCCGCCGTAGCAAGTATCTACCCACGCCGTAGCCAATGTTTGCGTTCGTCAAACCGTCCCACCGCAGCATCTGTCTACGCTCGCCGTAGCAATTGCTTACGGTGTTGCATCAGTTATAAAAAAATACATATTTTGATATACCTGAAAGCTACTTTACAGGAGGTCCGGTTTCTTAACCATAAATTGGATAGGATTTTTCATTTTAGTCTAAAACAAGGACAGTACTAATCATAAGCAATACTTTCATCATGAAATCTACCTTTCCTGCCTACCCGCAGTTTTGTTCGCAATAAAATCAGGGTAACACGGTTTAACAAAGAGTTTTGTAACCAAAATAAAACACGATATTTCCTGAAAACTCCTGTTCTGTTCATGAGCTCAACACCTATTTTTTGTGAAAACGGTTCAATCCTTTTTTGTGTTATAAAAAGTAAAACACGACTTTTTTATAATTTTGTAAACCTTTAGATTTCGCTATTTTGCCTGATTTTAAACAAGCCTAATCTTAAACAATATTTTCATTCAAAATTATTATTCTTCCTATATAGTAGATATACATTATATTTAATGTTTAAGATTTTATAAAATCGCTATTACCACTAGTAATATAATTTCGGGGAGTATATGATATTGACTTTAGAAAATGTCAGCTTGTATTTTAAAGATTGGAAAATGACCTTTCTAAAATCAATATAATAATAACACACATTTATCGAGGAAATGTCTTTTTTGCATTTATTCATATTGTACAATCTTATAATATGATTCATTCTGCAAAATTTTACAGGCGAGCAAGAATTCATATATAAAACAGTAGCTCTTTCGTATTGTACATAACCATTTTACCAGTATAGTGAAAACATGCGTATAGTTTTTTTTAGTTTTAGGATAATAAATTACTTAAATACTAATTTAAGTTTGGTTCTTTATTAATACAATATCAATAGGATTGCACTATCCTGTAAAGTTATTGGAACGTACCAAAAAACATTCTATGGTGCTTCTCTCGACGCCGATGAACTTTCTATGCTAAATTTACAATTATAATTATAACTTTTAATATAAAACAATTTCTTGTGAAGCGATTACACAGATACAAGGCAGGCATGACATATTGGCTCAGACTTTCTCATCTCACTTCATTAGTTCAATATATTCGATAATTTATTAGGTAACGAGCACACGAGCTTATACCATAGATCTATTCAATGAAGTTGTCAGCTCAACGACGTGTGTCGCAAATGAACGGCTCGTCTACGTCTCTCATGAAGGAAGTGAGCTAAGAGAGTGTTTACATTAGTTACAATTTATTTATTAACAATTTTATAATACGTCGTTTAATAACTGCTGCTGTTTGTGTTCGTACTTTTATTTATTCGTATCTATTATATTATCAAACTAATTTATTATTTTGAACGTAAACTGCTTGTAATTTGTTATTCAATACTAGTGTCTTGAACACGGAACTTTAGAACGCATTAGAACAATTGAAATGCGACTTATTTGTAGTAGTTTAGTAACTATTACATCAAATATTTTCATTATTATTTTAAGGCAGTGAAACACCCAACTTAAATTGAAGGACAGTTGGGGACGAGATTACCTAGCTAAGATTAACTAAGTAACATATCACTAGACATTTTCACAGGCGACCTCTACACAATGGTCGCTTTATATTTTACAATATTTACACATCTTAAACACGTATGTTAGTGAAACATTGTCGTATCAATACGAGGGAGTCACAAACATTAAAGCAGGACGCGGTCGGTACTCTACATACCACTCAGTCATCGAAAGTCCATCGGCTTATTGTAGATATCATCCTAACACCCCGATTACAAATGACAAAACGAAAATACCCATACGTCTATACAATAACAATATAAATATTTCTCATGAGTCAATCTTGTCAAATAATAAATCTACATAGAAGAAATCTAACACTCTGAAATAAAGGGCAACAATTTTTATAATCTGTGAGACACGCATCCCTTCGCGAACACTTTTTAAAAAACAACTTTTATTTATTTCATTTATTACGACTAGATTAGCATTTGTAATTATAACATTAATAATATCAATTGTTCAAAACGATAGATTCACATATATATGTGGAGTTTAAACGGAATTATGAATACAGGCGTATTTATTAACAAAGTATAGGTACTATAATAATGGACATACTGCACAAAAATGACACGAGTCGCGTTCCAGCGTAGACACTTTGTACTAGTTAACTATAACAGAGGTAAAATATAAAAGCTATCTTATAACCCGTTCCTGCCCTTCGCAACAAACAACAATGATCAAAATATTGAGGGAGTAATATCCGATTCGACTAAAGGTACCGACGAGCCGCGTGTTTGGAAACTCCTTTGTTCCATCTCTTTTTAACAACGCTCATCCGAACCTTTTCAGTGTTGGCATCATCCGTCTATATAGAAAACTGAAAACCATCTCGATATTCAGTGCTCGGACTAATACTAACATAATTGATAAATATTAGAAACATTCTTTTTCAACGATTTTATATTTCATTTATCGGCTTAACACTTTGACGATGACACACTTAATCCATCTAAAGTCGACTATCCTTAATATTTATTGGTTTCTGCCAAACACGCGTCGTCCCTTAGAGAAATGAACAACACCCTATGCAATCACACAGTTCTAATAATATTCTCATTTTTTCATCATGTTATCACAGAAAATCATGTATTTACAATTTTGTCGTACTAAAGTAACCTACATCATGCTTTGCAACAAATGTATTTGATGGTGTTGAACGATTTCTTCTCTGACGCGACCACTGTCCTGGACATCGCTGACGTGTAGTCATTCAAAGTGATGTCTTTAAATTAGTGAACCATTTTAAATACTTGCCGAATTACATTACTAGCGTTTTGTTAATGCACTTTGTTTGAATATTTGCACGATGCGATGTCGCCAGTACATTAGTCGCAGCAAAGATGACAGCTAACAAGTGACTAGTATGACAATGTGGCATGAAGTAGTGTATCGTGTATCAAGTGGGATCAGGACGAATATCGGATTTATTATAATATGGTACAATCATCTGCAGAATTGGTTTTAACCGCTTTTGCATAGGTGTTGATCCAAATGAGAATGATCCTTAACAAGTTTTATCGTTTTATTACTAAAATTAACTGATTTTATTTATATTTTAATACTAAAGTTGTCAACCAATTCTGATGTAGAGTGTACAGAAGATATTTCGGTTTTGTGCCTGGTGACGATTTTTAGTTTTGTTTTCCGCTGAATAATCTGCCATCGACAATAGATGCCTAAAGTTCAGATGTCATATTTTTTAATATAGGTATAAGTTACTACTCCATCATGTTCTTGGACTTTTGAAACTAACAAATAACATACGTAGTTACACAACTCATAGCCAATGTATTTTTTATTGTTGTCGTCAGGCATAATCAATATGTCGATGACTGTGTATTGTCAGTGAGAGCATCTTGTTATTCCTTAGTATAATAATAATTATAGTCAACAAAACTTTGGCTCGTCTTTAATTTACATCCTAAACGTTACTTTGAGGTATATTTTAGAGTTAACTCACAAAGCACAAAGATACTCCCACTCGGTACAAAACTGGGCCTCGGTATACATCGGCTAGAGGGACCAGGCGACAAAACCTTTAAACAATACTCAGTACACGATTTAACAATTTGGGTAATCATTTAATGCAGAAATATATTTTCAAAGTTTACACACAATTCATCTTTATTTAGTTTAATCGTATTTAAATTTAAATAACGTAGGTATAAAGCACTTGGGGGAAGGACAGCAAATTCAATAAAAAATGTTTAATTATTATTTAGTATATATTAACTAAGTAAAAATTATTCGCTATGTAAATATTTTATACAATACTAGTATTAATTTGTCTGACGATGAATCGCTAGTGTTCTCCCAACGTGTAAGTTGAATACGAAACGGCGTCGGGCGGGTCGGGCCGGCGGCCCGCGCCCTCTCACCACGCGATATAACGTAGACTTTACGTAGTGCAAATTTAATATAGAAAGTTTACTTTTACAATACAGACTAGTAATTTCATTTTATGTAAAAATCCTAGCGCAAACGAGTCGTCCGGCACCGTCTCATACCTCGATCGCCCTAACCGTAATACAAATCAAGGAGTAAAATTTTAGCGAATTAAAAATTAAATTTTCCAAAACTTCGTAAATACTAGAATTCGGAGGCGGGCCGCGGCGGGCCGGGAGCGACGTCCGAACCGCTGAGCAACGGGAGTCGTCTATGTACACACGGTCGCCGAGTATAAAACGAGATCGTTCGGGGCGCTCGCGGGCGCGTCAGAAGGAGTGCGGCGCGGCGGGCGCGGGCGCGCGCCGCTAGCACCAGTCGTCCTCGTCCGAGTCGGAGTGGCGCGCGCGCGGCTTGTACCCGTTGGGCAGGCGCGGCGCGGGCGCGGGCGAGGGCAGCGCGCGCGCGCCGCCGCCCCGGCCCAGCGCCAGCGCCGCCTCGTAGCTCAGCGGCGCCTCGTACGCGCGCCCGGAGCCCCACTCCGCGTCGTAGCCCCGGCCGCGTCTGCACACGCCCAGTCATTAAGCCATCCTCACACAGCACTTGTTTCGATGCTATATTGCATGCGGGGACGCCACAGTACAGTAAAAACAAAACAACTACAATACGCCGAAAAATTATAGAGTAAAAGCAGAAGCGCTATAATTACCCAGTTATCTTCTACTTGAAATTTACCTGCACTTTAGCACAAATTGAAAAGCTCTCGCCAAAGTATGCACGGATACCCATTCGTACTTAGCAGCAGAACAATCTCTGCTCCAGGTCAAGCTCAAGGTAGATTTAGCTGATATTACTGAGTTAGTTACTTTAACAACTGTCTAGCGTAGCACAAGTTACTAATATAATTATGTATTACTGTAATCTTTGCAAAATAATCGAAACAAGTCTTGTTATATTGGCATGCGTTGATACACTGCCTCACACGATTATTAGTTCTTTAGAATATTAAAATGTTTTCGACTAACTTATATTGCCCATTCAGGTTTAATCAAGTTAGCAAAGATATATTGTTTCAGAGTACGTACCTTTCTCTAGATCTATAATCTCGGTGTATCAGTCTTTCAACTTCTCGGCCGTACTCGTACTCATCGTGTTGAGGCTCTAACGGTTCTCTGACTGTGTGCCTTAGTGATAACTGGAACAATCATTTAAATTATATCGTTTGAATACAAACATCATTATCTCTACCAAAATAGTCATTCTGGTTTTGATAAGACAAGTATCGTTTAGCGTTTTTCGTCGTGCATAGCAACACTCTATTGGTCGTTCTCTTCCTAATATAATGTGCAGAATACTTACGTGCGAGGGGCTGTGGCTGATTCTGGTGAAGGGTGGCTGCTGCTTGACCTGTAGCGTGGACGGCTTGGTGGGCGTGGGAGGGAGCTGCCGGCCGCGGCCGCGCCGCGCGCCCTCGCGCTCCCACGACCGGTCGCGCCACTCCCGCCACTCGCGGTCCCGCTCCCGATCCCGTTCACCTATCGGGGCCCAAACTGCTCTCTGAATCATTTGGTGTTCTATACTCGAGTCAACAACAAGTTCGAGCTATGCGGTTATGATAAATATGATACAATAATTCATAAATAACAGGACGTTAGAATCAAATCAAGGAAAATAACAGGGGTAGAATCAAAGTATACCTATTTAGATGAATAATAAACAGATGTGCAAACAATTTTCTTGTGGATGTCCACCATGCTTTCCGTCTACACTCGCGCCGCTTTCATACATCTACAGACGTGCAAAGCCGGATCGCATCAACATCGATTAACTAATAATTTAGACACATTGCTATTTCAGCAAAGGGTCTTATGGGTCTAGAAATTTGAACAGATAGTGTGCCAATTGGAATTTAGTTTCAGACCCTTTGCTTTACAATCAATGACACTCAACATAAATATTAACGCCCCACTGAAAATTTTGAAAACAGCTGATTAGGTTCATTTTATTAATGATTTTTAATTTTTGCATCACGGTTAGAGGATGTATGTCCCTAGTTGGTTAATGTCATAAGGGTGAAGGTTTGTGATGTACTGTTGACAATAGTTGCGAGTTCCAGCCTATCCATAGTTAACAAGTTACCGTAACGTGCCTGTTCTTACACCTAAGTACGGAATGTTGTACTCGCAAAGCTGATATCGTGATGATAGTCAGTGTGGTATGTGAGGTCCGTTGTGTGTGGCGAGTGGATCTCACCGTAGGTGTGGTGTGGCGGGCTGGGCGACCGCGAGGGCTGGCTCAGGCTGGTCGTGGGGTGCGGCGCCCTCCACTCCTTCCCTGCTGTCAGGAATACCTTCATGTACCTTCCACCACGTTTACCCTAAGCCCGTCGGACTACCGACCTTATTTCCTTGCTCACAAAGGTGACTCTAAAAGTTTTGGGTGTCTGTCATACGTGGTACAAAATGTAAGGATATGATGGACACGGATTTGGATCGATAGGGATAGGTTTCTTGGTTGATTAGCTGTGTGTCCAAAGTTGTCACTACAATTGTTGGAGAGCCGAGAGCACAATAAGTACTTATATAATATACAATAGGTATAAACTGTTCATTACAATATGAGGTATTCTTTGATGTATCTATTAGTAGCAGACTACTGCAGAGAGTACAAAAATAAATACAAAATCTTTTAAGCTTTTGCATGCTGCATGATTTATGTGATATTATTATTGAAGTGCATGCGTTTCAGGCACCTCTGTTGCGAGGTGCCCATGATTAAAGCAATTGTATTATGTGCAAATAGGAGCAGATATGTTTTGGTTGGGCACCAGTATTTTAGCATGCAGCAGGCAAATTAATTTCATTTGTTATAATATAATACAGGGCAGATTATATAAACTTTACATTATATAATGCTTCATTTAGTGTACGTTGCGGCTCAATCTATTGCCAATCTGGAATGACTTACATCTAAGAAATATGAGCGGCCTGGTGAATAAAATATTAATGACACCGCTAACACTTGGGTCACGAGCATAATATAGGAGCAGTCGTCAAATAGCTAACGCTACAAATATAATTTTACAAGACTAGCCTTGTGAGAATGTTTTATTATAGCTAGATTTTACAATCTAATTATCTAGGTTGATGATCTTATCGATTTGCAGCGTAACTGCTTTGCTCGCTGACGTCTTATAACTACAACTACTAAAGTATGATTAGCTACAACTACAGTTAAGCTAGACATCCCATCTTCTCACAAAACTTTCAGAGTACCTTCATGAGAAGAAAAATGTTTGCAAAACTGTTTCAGTTGGTTAATTGAAGCTAAATAAAACATATTTGTATGTAAACGGTTAATGTTTTAGAATGAATAAATAATACTACAGGAATAACATAAGAATAAATAAATTATTAGCATGTAGCTCGTTTGTAAGGCTTATTTTATAAGTTGGTATGAAAAATATTGTTAAAACAACGATGTCTTATCGAAATTGCAATAGCATTAAGCCATTTACTTGGCAATCGACAAATCTGTTGATAGACTATTGAACAAACAAATACACGGTGTGATCTAAAATGAATATCTAACTAAAATATCTATTTGGAACTCGTCAGGGTTATCACCAGATTTGCCTTGTTACATGTTTACATATCTGTTGTTAGTACGGGTACTTGATGATGGTAGTTGTTGCTTGTCTAGCGAGATGACGAAACAATCACTTACCATGCGGGTGGTAGTAGTGGGGCGCTCTATGCGTTCGCCCGTGTCTTTGATGTTCGTGCTTTACTATCTCGACGACGTTGCTGACGGTGTCGGAGAATCCAATATCGTGATGATAACCTCCGTAGTGGCCTCGTCTTCTTGGACTTGGTGTCCGTCTGTAGAGTTAGTTTAATTTAATTAACGAAATACTAAATGGCAACATTCATTTACCATGCATGTTACCAATCATGCAACACCGAGAAAATCGGGGAGAGAAATTGGTTAGTCCTGAAGAAAGTACATTCGGTTAGTAGAAGATGTGTATCATGGCACATACCATTGTTCACTACGATAACTTTGAGATCAATGGATTCTTCTTCGATGACACTATAAACATAAAAAGGAAATAACAAACTGAACAGTAAAACAAACGAAACGTAATGTTTTGTTTTTGTGAAACATTCACCTTAAACTCGAAGATCTTCCGTGGTGGCCGTTCTGGTACGTGTGAGGTGCTTGTAACCGCCCCTCGTCCAACGACTCCATTGAGGCGTGGTGCGATCCTTGCAGCTCCAATACCTACAACAGTCCTTTTATTAGGGCCGAACAAAATAAGAGAGATGTCAAAGCGTTTCTTTGCAAGCTAGTTAAGACTCATTAGACTTACTGTCCCATATTTACAAAATTTCCGAATTGTTTTAAAAACAAAAATACCAAATCATGCACACGAAAGTGCTAAACCTTGCATTCCATGCAACAGTCCGTGCTTGTGCAATATTATACTATACGCTACTTACCCAGTCTGTTAAAGATATCTATGTTTTAAAATCTACAAACATGCCAAGTTTAGTTTACATGCAAAACGTATTCCGGTAAAGAAACGACATGTCCTGGTGTCATGTATTATGACTGTTATGTAAGTATGTTCATGTATTGATTGTGAAAGTGCTATGTCTAAGAAAAGTTTCAAATAGTCATCCCTAATGACGGAAGAGTCATTTAAAAACCATTCCCTATAAACATCGAAGAAATAGAAAAAGAAAGACAAAAAGTTCTACAAGATTGACATAGAAAAACAATCATCTATTACTGAAATTGTTTACCTAAACATCAACAACCATCTGTAAACTTTAAATTGTACGATTAATACTTTGATTCACATAAATTGATTAGCTATGAGCCTAAGGCCCTAAGTTACTCTGTTTACGACAATAATGCCTATAAAACGTTGAATATTAAGTCTAACAACAAACATTATAATCCTATGATATCAATGTTAGTGAACACCCAAAACAAAGCTTTGAACATAAAATTACAACATCGACTATCTATGACATAAGAAAATGCATCGATGTATTGTTTTACTAAAGGGGGACACCCATTTAGCGGATACACATATAACATCACATTTTCGACCAACATCACGTATGGGGTACAAGATTGTCCAATTGTCACTTTACTAATTTCAATTTATTGTAAAAATAATTTTGTTCGTGATAATGATATTGGTGGGGACATCGATTGCACTAGACAATGGCTATCATGGCTCTGGCTGATCAGGTTTACAACAGTAATGATCGAGTCAACATAATCACCGATTCACTTAAGGTAGTCACCTTTTTATTGTTCCTGAAACAAAAGAGAACCCTAATCAAATACACGATCATAGTTACGATTCTTATAGTTATTTAATGAAAAGGGGTACCAATCTGCTTTCAGATTGTTCTTAAGTTAATTTTGCAACAACTGATAAGTTGCAATCAAGATGAACCAGGAAAAATGTTGCTTTGCTAGATTCTTTAATTGCAACGTTGGAAAATTACGTTGACAATTTGTTAAGCAATACGGACATTTCTGCTCAATTCTTTACATTAAAATATTAATAAAAATATACCTAATCCATCGAAAAATATCGTAGAAGACTTTAACTTTGTTGATAATTTGTGTAAAAATAATAAAGAGACATAACTCACTTGAGCGACTTTCTGTTGCCGCGCCTGGCGAGGTTGGCCAGCAGATGCGGGTCTTCCGGATGTCCATCAGCGTTGACGGGCCCTTCATGGCTGAGCGAGCCGGCCCGCGAGCCAGGGCCCAGCCCCGCCGCCACGTCCATCAAGCAGTTAAACAGTGACGCCTTCTACACACGCACCCCACGTCACGCATCCCCCCCACACACGCACACTTGCGCATGCTCATGTCACACAGCGTCCAAGCGCAATAGGACTCAATAGTCACTAACGGCTAAAGCCTACATGAGTTTGCGCAAACATCCCATACATCATGTCCATGCTGGAGTTCTCTTTAAATAGTGTCATGTGTGTATCGTCTGTGTTAGAGATCCAACGGATGGACAATGGACATACAACCGAATTGAGAATGTATATATTGTAGTGTATGTGAGGAATTCAGCTACAGGTATCTGAGAAAACAGCTATCACACGTTAATTGTATTATGTTAGAGTAAATTTTGTTCAGTCCATGTCGGTAAAACCGTGAAAGAGCTGAAATTACAAAGCATCTTGTACCGAAACGAGTGCTATATCATTATAAAAACCATGTGCGCAAAATTTGAAGCCAGAGGCGGAGGTTGCGAATTCACGTTTGCATTTTACATATCAGAGAAATATAGTACGGTAGTCAAAAAATAATTATATTTCATTTTCTCCAGCATGCGCAGACTTGAGAGTAAATAATGAACGTTATTTTTATTAATTCTTATGCTATGGTATAAAAATCATAGGAGGCAAATAAGAGCGGTAGGTAGCAAGAAAGCGTAATATTTTATCGTTTCTTCATCACCAGGCTTCTAAAATGATAAATATCGATTGAGCCAAAATGTAATCAAAAGTAAACTTTACGATAACAAAAGCAACAATATTAAATAAATATCGGTTGAAAAGATTGAAACGCACTTTATCATGCAGGCTACCTAAAACTTTTTGAAATAAATGGATCACAAAATCTAAAATGCACAGTGTAGAGACTGAATAGTTTATGTAGGAAGTAGCAAGAGGCAAAGGGGACGATATGACACACATTGGTAAGACAAACAAATCTACAAACAGTAGGATATTCTATCTACGCGACACGGTATCAAACATTGTAACACACACATTCTTGTTACTACTACATTATTTTGCAACTATAGGACAGGTATTTATGTCGTGGTTTACAAAGCCCTGACGGACACTTGATCGACAAACGTGCCACAGCTGCACAAGTTTGCCTAACTAATGTGTTATCAAGTGCGTCACTAGTACTAAATCTAATGTCTTTAATCAATTCAATCGCTAAACTACGGTTTTTTATTTCTTGGATTTATATTTCGACCATTCATTTAGTCTATATAGGCCATCGTGTATTAGTTAATGTATGTTTTAAAAATAAATTTATTTAAACACAATGCGAGAAGAAATTTATGATAAAGAAAAATATCTAGAATAGTGCAAGAAAAAAGTATTCAAAGTTTCGTTCCGTAAAATATTTTAATACTACCGGCTGAATGGCCGTAGGGCTATTCTCGTTGAATGCCTGAAAAGTAAACCACCAATGTAGTCGACTCGTTATGAGTCGATTTCAACTAAAGTGATTCTGTATTGTTGTACTCTTTGTTATACAGACATTTGTTCATAGGGAGCCAATCACAAGTTATGAATACTGAACATAGGAACAAGGTTATCGATAGAATTGAAAAGATTTTAACATGGTTCTGTAAATGTACACAACAATACGACCACGGGTAGACAACACAACCAACTCTATTAAACTAACTATAATGTTTCCAAATTGTAATCTAATGTGGGGAATTATAGGGGGCCATCAACAACCACTACTTGTAAACGTGTAGTATTACCTACCCACGTAACGGTTACATTTGGCTCAAAGTGTACATATATACATACTGGCGTAAGCCACACGAGTTTACTCTGGCTTCATTTGGATCTACTAAACTTACTATATTTATAATTTCATCAAATATTCCATTATTACACATAAATACAAGTGTGAAAACAAATTTACTCAGAGGTGCGGGTAACATGGCATTTGTACTTACCGGAACACCGTTCTGCTTGAACCTTGTCGATCTCCAGCTCTCGAGGATCAGTAGTCCAGCGTATATCTTCCCAACTGTCAGTTTCCCAGCGTTGAGTACATCGTTTCGAGGCACCAGCAAGTCTAGCATCTTCTTCGCTTGTAATGGCCATATGTGGGTTATTGTTTCCCTTAATTCCTCATCTGCTTGGTCCATTTCGTCAGCTAAAATATGAAGTGGAGATTTAGATTTTGTGGATAATCTTTTGTTACTACAGATTATTTCCATTGTAATAAGTCAGCAATAGGAAGAATTAATTGTCAATAATTGAATGATACTCACGAGATCTCATCTTGATGTTTAAATTTTCTCGTATTAAGGCAAATAGTGTTGTTGTAAAATTAACTTTCCCCTCGTCGTCTAGCGGCATATTCATTCTAATAAGCTTCTTATATGCTAGTCTATTTGGACATTTGTTACCAAACCCCAGAGGTGGATCCATATTCTTCAACATATCATACATTTCTGTGTAATGGATCTTACCCCTGAAAAGAAATATGGTTTTAGATAAATCGTTCATTACGCATTGTTATAATGTTGATAATTTAAGGGTCACTTATATTTTAAATATTACTTACGTGGCGTTTGGATCATATTCTGCCCATATTCTAACAAATTCATCAAGATGATGTGCTCCGAGGATGGACGAGTCCCTCGTTAAGTAGTCAAAGTTATCCATAATAACGGCAACGAACAAATTCAACATCTGAAAGCAAGTCACGTATTAAAAGATATGTTTATAAAAACATAGGTGAAGTTAATATACATATATGTATCATAGTTATACTTACAAGAAACGAACAGAAGAATATAAAAGATACGAAGTAGGCGTAGGCGAGCGTACTTCCACATTCTTCGTTGGAGGCCTTTCCTGCTGCTATGTCGCACTTGGCGGGTTTGCGGCAAGCCAACATTATGTTTGGCCAAGACTCACCCGTCGCGCATCTACACATACAGTGGCTCACAGAAACCGTTGTCATATTTAACAAACCATCCAAGTAATTACAAATGCAATGAAGAATAGTATAAAAAAGATGAGCATTTCCAGAATTAGTATAGATAGTAGATTGATATTGTATTGATCAATTCATGAGAAAAATCGATTTGCAACAGACTGTTCTACACGTTTCCACAACTAAGTAACAGTGAGAATGTTAATGATGAAGTAGTTTTTTATAGCTGAAGTGCATGCATGAGACGTGCTTGTTACACAAATGGTCATTCTAAAATACTCCCATATTTCCATCGAGAAGCGAATTTGTTTCGAGTATTTCTCTACAAGTTTGAACAGTTTGTACTACACTGTACACTGACACCGATTTGATTGATTGGAGCAGTCTAAATGGTGTTTTTGATATCTAAATGTCTGTATATTCCTACGAATATGTTTAAGATATGTCCCTTTTGTCTGGAGTTACTTGTATTCAATGTTCCTTACCTGAATAGTAGCATGAGTGCTTGAATGAAGCTTCGAAAATTGTTGTGTCTGTTCATGTCAGACTCTGGTGTTAATTCTATATTGCCAAACACCTGTGTCCAAGCAGATACAACACAGTAGGTCAGCTTTGTATGCAAATAACAACACGTAGCCCGACTCCTATGCTTAACCCCACAAACAAACGCTACCTAATGACGTATCTATCTATAACTAGCACTAGGGTTACGACAAACGATATCAAACAAGGGTACCAAACTATCTAGAGATACAAACAAGAAGCAATCTCAAAGTTAAGGACACCAATTAGGATATTGTCACCACTAAGGATTGTCTAAATCTACAATTTGATTATATGAATATATATATTGATGAGAGTAGTATTGCCAATGATAATGATAGTAAGTACATATGTAACACTTATAGTAGAGACAGATTTTCGGCAGTGGCCGCAAGACTTAGTAACAGCTACGTCTTTTGTACTCTCACCGAAATAGTAGCAAGAGTGCCGCCACGAAAGATTGGAAGTTGTTATGCCTGTTGATAGCATCATCTGGATCATATTGTATGTTTCCGAAAACCTGTCATTAGAAACTTATCAATACCGTTTTGTATTTCATTATGTCCAATCTTAGAATGTACTCACACTACTCATGACTGGTACGAGTCCGTCTAAGATGAATTGGCATTATTGTATTGTAATCTCATTCATCTTAGGCTGGCTTATATATTATTTGAATTTTAATACAAAATTCTACTCCACTAAATACAATTAGATTTCGGAACAAGTAATGGAAATGGCGTTAGGTTGACAATACTTAGGTTAACTAGGATTGTTTTAATTTTATCTATTATTTAGTACTATGATTATTAAATGGACTAGAATACTCTATGCTCGACTATATTGTTCTAACAATAGGAAAACTAATTATGTATTATATAAACTGATATTTGTACGAGCCCCTCAAAAACTATTCTATGTTACCAGGGGAGGATTTACAACATTATCACAAAGGATTAGGATTCATATTTCTACGGAGAATCCATCTCCTAGCATTACCAAGACCTACTTTTTCTATGAGACCCTAACGCTACTAACTATTTATAATGTAAAAACTAGGAAACTTTATTATAATCGCAACTAGTTTCACTAGTAGTAAACAATTAAAAACGTATTCAAAATTCTAGAATAACTATTTTAATTTCAATATAAAAAATACCCCCAAAAGTACCTATCACACATATCGTTGAAAATAAATCCTTTATCATTTAAATATTTTATATTAAGTTGTATTAGGAAGATAATTAATTAGGAATTGAGAAGTAACAGGAGGAATTCCAACAGACCTGCATCCCGATGATGGCGTAGATGAAGAATAGCATCGCGATGAGAAGGCACACGTAGGGTAAGGCTTTGAAACTCTGCACGAATGTCCAGAGAAGTATCCGAATGGTATAGCCCTGTCGGAGCAGCTTGATCAGTCGCGCGGCTCGAAACAGGCGGAGGAAACCGACGTTGAATGTGTTCTCCTGCGAATGATACACCATTTACATAACCTAACCAAACATAACTGCCAAATTCATAAAAAAATATCACTCCAAAAATCATCCAAGTTATTGGAACAAACGTCTCAAAACAAGCTGAAATTTCAGCCAGCATACTCCAATCTAGAATTCCAAAATTTAAAACTAACCACAACGTTCAAATAAATCTAGTCAATGAGATAAGTACTAGGGTCAAATCACAAAGTTAATAAAATAAATTTTGATTAGTTAATGAATAATATGAAAATATAAATATAATGATAATTTTTATTTAACCAGCTACTGTTTTGTAGAGTATAGAACAAAATCCAATTAGCTTTTATAAATTAACAAAAAAAAGATAAATATAAAATTCTAGCAATATTAACGGTACAATTTAAATGTTCTAAGGTTTTATAGAAATAACACACCAATTTATAATTCATAGCTAAACCAAACACAATTGGTCCCTAGCGAACAACGGTACCTACGGTATAACTACAAAACTGCTATAAATCCTAATATTCTAAAAATATTGTCTAGCACTACTGGTATTGGAGCACAGTCCAATAGTATATACACAGTCTGTCTAAACCATTGACCAATTCGTTACAAAAATCTAAGATTCCTAGCAAAACCAAATGGTTGATTTGTTACCTGCTGACAGGATATGTCAGCACAGTTTTCAGCAAGGTCGGTCTGTAATCAGGATAGATCCTTAATCTTCACTTTCATCAGAGTTAAATATACTTATAAAATTGCCAGCAGCAAAAAAGGATCGGGTAAGGCAAAAAATAAAATTAGTAGAACGAAAATGTAAGTAGAGAAGCCGAGAAAGATAAATGTAACAAGATTAAGACAATACTTACGCCAAACTCCATAATGAGGGCGTCAATAATACTTCCAATGACCGTTATGAAATCGAATGTATTCCAAGGGTCTTTGAAAAAATTCTGGAAATAGACCGATATGTTAGCATATATTCTGTAAATAAAATGATATATAAAAATTTATAAACATTTTAAGGAAATCAGTATACAAATGTACACTTTCCATTAATAGACTGTTTCAAGATCAAAGGACATTTTAAACAAGGAAAGGAATGAGGAAATCTCTCTTTTATTTTTTTTATCTATGCAAATACATAAAATGTATTGATAAATCTAATAAAAGTTAATGCATTTAAAAACCTATGTCTTAATAAAAAGCATAATCTCTGAAATTCTCTATAAAACGAATTCTAAATTTAAATATATTCAAGTCAATATTGAATATTAATAGCTAGGCTAAAATATTTATAAAATAATGATAGTGTATTGTGTTAGGCGCACACGATTGTAATCGCACATTCCAATGCATTCATATTACTTTTAAATAAGTTTACATTAGCAGCACAAACTCTTGTTAATATCATCATTTAAATACAATTCAGCACAATTTCTTGCCTATAAATTGATTCTTGTTTTACGTACCCATGGCTTCTTCATTTTAAATAAATATTAAAGCTATCATGTTCTTATAAATGATAAAATAAGTTATAGATTAGATTAGTATATAAAATTCAAAGTGTGTCAAATTCTTACCGTACACCCGAAGGCGATCAGCTTCAAAACGGTCTCGAGAAGGAAGAAGGTCGTAAAGACGAGGTTCATGAATGTTAATATGTCCATGAGTAGTGGTGGAGCCTCGTGAAACTACCACAAAATCAATACCATTTTTTTAAACCTTAACTCAAATCATTATCAAATTAATTAAACTTAAATGCAAGACTACATTTTGGCAAAGTATTTTTTAAACATTTTTGAAGATAAACATGAATTATGGCTCGTGTTGTTTCTTGCATTTAAATTTGTATGATTAAAAATAATTTTATCTAGCCGATATTATATCTAATAAAACAATGTATTGTTATGTTGACATATTTCATGTACACGTGGGTGTGTTAGTATTATTATCTGTGTTATGTTCCTTCGTTGTCGATGAGTATCATGTGTTACTGAGATGTATAGCGAGACTTGTGGCAGGGTGCTCGTGCGGCATGCTGTCCCGAATGTACAAACATGCGAACAGGTGTTATATGACAGACAACATTGATTACAGGAAATTTTTTCACACAAAGTTCATACTTATCTTTGCAACCGCAGAACTCCGCCAGATTAAAATATCATAGTACTTACCTTTTATACCGCTCGGCAAGTATGGATTAGTAAAATCAGGAGAAATACAACATTATAACGCGTGTATACACATACAATAGTGCTACATGCAGCAGGAGAAGAAGCCATGCTTAACAATTATTGCAAATAAATCTTTACAATCATCGTCGTCAGAGAGAAACTAATACTGGATAATTGGGAAGGGAAAGTAATTACACGGCTGGAAATAATCCCATACAGTCATGTAAATAGATAAAACAATCACGTTAATAGCAGAAAGAGTACATTTGTACATATACCGTATTCATTGACTTCCATCATGTTGTAGTATTGTGTCGGTCGACAGTCGATACATTGTGTTTGTGTACTTACTTTGACACCATAAGCGATGATTTTCAACACCGTTTCCACAGAAAACATTCCAGTAAACCCCATATTCGAATACTTGAGGACATCCGCGTAGATGTCATTTTGATTATAGTACTGCCATTTTGTGATGAAGTGCCGGACGGTATGGATAAACCCGAGGCAATGAAAATACATAATTGTTACTTTATAAATTACCTCATCCATATCAAGTATTAGTATTTTAATGTGATGTACAACATTGAATTGTATGGAATCAATGTAAGTTGGTAGATTAGTTATGTTACGTTTCATGTAACGTACAACAGTAATACATAATATTAGAAGGAATAAATATGTATACCAAGGGGATAAGTGATAAGAGTTGGTGAGGATTATGTGCGAAGAAATCATTTAAGTAGTCCAACATAAAAATAGACAGGGTCACAGAGAAATTAAAAGCTTTAAAATATAATTTATTATATAACACAGATACATATATACTATCAATATAAAACATATTATATGAACACAAAATTATAAACAAAAAAGGATAAAACAAAAATAAAATAGTGTTATAAATTTTGATCACGTAATATAACTTTACTATCTTTCAAAAATTTTGTCTCAATTAGAAAATTATTATTTTTTATCAATTTTCCAATAAATATACAAAGCAGCCCATAGCCACCAACAAATCACGCCTGGCAGTAGGCCATTCCACCAAGCATGCACAATATCCACATAAAGACAATTAGGAATAGGTTTTAAATAAGATCATGCAACACGAACAACATATATGGCCCATGCCACGTCCTATCTTTACCCAGAGATTGTAGTGCATTCACAAGCACGAATAACCGAATAAAATGTTTGGTGTATCTTGTGCCAAAAATGTGCTGGAAGGACAGGTATATCGTGCAGTAAACACCGATACATACATATTAAATTAATAGCAAGCGAGGATTAACGAAAGGATCACAACGAAACACGGGATCAAAATAAAATTATAATTTGGCGGTTGGTACATTTGACGGGATAGGCTCGGTAATAATTTGAAATACGGCGCATTCCGATGCAGTGTATACTGACGCCGAATATAACAGTGATATCGTAAACACTCTGTATGTTGTGTGTATGTGTGTGTCGTGTGTGTATTGAAATTCCTAAACAGTAGGCAGTACTAATGTCGTGCCAATGTTATAGTATCGTGACGTCGTCCATTGTATGATTGTTTAACACTTAAAACAGACGTTACACAACTAAGAAATCATATTACTAAAGGATCTATCAGGTGCCAACAAATATTAGACGCATGTACGACAAAGGTTATGTCTTAGTATAATATTTCGCCAAACCAGAGAGCTTATGACTTACATTAATGAGCTCTCTAGATTGGTACTGTGCAGGCTTCAGTGAACTCAAGGATTGGTTGCTAATCTAGATCGTCACTTTCAGTGCCTTGTGAGACAGGCTAGGTTCTTCAGCAACTACCTTAAATAAGTGATCATTTTCTACTTTCCACATTTAGTGCTTCTCTTGTTTCGTATGTAATTTGTATGATCACTTTTAGAAAGTGTTTGTACTTATAGAATAAACATCTTTATTAATATTATGGTAAGTTTAATATTACTTAATTTTAAATTAATTATTCTAGAACATTTAAAAGCGTTGGTGATACGTACCTTCATCATGAGCAATAATGTGTTGAGGACGATAAGGGTCATGATTAAGTATTCGAAAGGCGTAGAGACGACTAGTCTCCACACTTTGTACTTAAAACTCGCCCTTTTACTTGGCATATACCTTTCGAGAGGCCGCGCTTCTATCGTGAAGTCTATACACGATTTCTGTGGACAATGACAATGGAGCCGTTGAAGAAGAAGAATAACTAACATTCTTCTTTTAAGAATTACTGCTTTTTAGAAAAAATCTTACCTGATTCTTATCTATTTCACCATCCTGCAATTCAGCTTCACCCTGCTCTTGAAATGTAATAATAATCAGAGCTACGAATATGTTAACGAAGAAGAAAGGAAACACCACGAAGTAAACTATATAAAATATGGACATTTCTATTCGAAAATTTTGTATGGGTCCCCTGTCTTCGTACGTAGCGGCCATCGAGTTTTGTAATACTCTGTAAACAAAGATTATGTGAGTATTAGGAAAATATAAAATTATTGATGAAGAAATTGAGAAATTGTTAAAGAAGTCTCGATGATTGAAACTTCATACTTTTAGGCTCCAGAACATCAAGCTATCCATTCTGTTAAATCTTAGTGGTCATATCGCATAGTATGTCGCTACCCAATAAAGTTGCAAGACGAAAAACATATATTTTTGTCAAAAGGATAAAAAGGGTACTCACTGTGGCCACCCCTCTCCGGTCTGCACCGCGAACAGCGTAAGCATAGCCACGGCGACATTGTCGTAATGGAAGGATTGCGTTGTCCACGTCCGCTGGCTGACGCGCGGCAGTAGGCTGTTTGACTCGTACACGAAATACGACCCTCTGTTACACACGATAAGGTTCATGTTAATTAAGTAGAAAAACATCATAGGAAACTTAAGAGAAATAGAAACCCATCATAGTCATATTCTCTAAAAAAAATTTCGTATATAATGTTTGAGTTTCAGTACTTAAAAATTTTTTTCGAGAAATGAGCGTCTAGAAATTTGGGAAAGGTGACTTAATGGTCACACAAAATTTTATTAAAAAGTAGGTACTATGAGTAAACAATTGCATGATTTTATCTAACAGTTAACAGACACAAAAAACAAATAATAGAAAACCAATACTCACTGGCAGTCTTCAAAAGTATTCTTACTGATATCGTTGCAGTGAAAAAATTTACCATTAAAAAGTTGAACTGCAATTACAGCGAATATGAATTGAAACAATATGTACACAATGAGAATGTTAATGACATTTTTCAAAGAGTTCACAACACAGTCAAACACTGCTTTTAACTTTGGAACTCGTTTTATAGTTTTCAAAGGTCTGAGCACTCGTAACACTCTTAACGATTTTATTGTGGACAGGTTCTGCCCTGCGCCCTTTTTCACGCCTCTGTAACAAGATTAATATTTTGATTAATGTAAAGTAATTAAACTTAGTGCATGCATGCTGTGCATTACAATTGTACATTGAAATATTGCTAAGCAATCGAGTCAACAGTTTCAAATTTGAAATACCTAGATATTTACAAACTCTAGGAAATGAATAAGAGAAAAAGACCGAAAATAGATAGGTTAATCTCAATTCATCAGCACGAATCGAAAACTTGCCAAAATATATTTTGCCTATACAAAATAGCATACCCGATCTCAAATCCGAAGCTGACAAGGGCGCATATGACGACAGCGGCATCCATGATGTTCCACAGGTCGCGCAAGTACGCGCCCGGATGGAACAGGATGCCGAGGTCCACTATCTTCAGCAACATCTCCACGGTGAACACGCCCGTGAACGCGTAGTCGAAGTAGTTCAGGATCTTGTTCCTGTTGGGGCAATATTATAGAGGTTGATATAGCAGCATAAAATATTTTTGGATGAATGATTGATAATAATAATCATCGACCGGTTTCGTTTATTATAGGTAGGACAAAGGCTTTTGCAATATAATTGAAAACGGAGTCTTATAATGACCTTGACGTACTAGTATACTTAATCTGATTAAGGTGTGTTACAATTGCAATGTTAACGTACCTGTCACTCTCTTCCACTACGGGGTCTTCAGCCGCTAAAGCCGCAGAACTCATACATATAACTACCATGATAAAAAAATCAAAATATCTTAAATTTACAACCCAGTGTGCGCCTCGCCTAATTCTGTAATACAAAAATAATATGAATTTAATAATTGTAAGCTTTGTAAAATATAGGTACTTTTATTTTTTGAGGTATTGATATCAACTTACGGATTAGTAGGTGACAAAATAAACATGGACGAATATGGCAGCATTGGTTTTGGTCCATCTGGTACCTCATCTTCATCTTCTTTTTTGGCCTCTTCTTTCTTTTTATTCTGGAATATTACAGTATCATGATACTATACGTTCACTATAATACATTCATCTACAATGTTTCCACTACTTCTAATTTTCGTACTCTGGCTCTATTTGAATTCCTCAATACAACCGAAGACTGCTACACTAAGTTTGTCAACGGTCTCATTTACAAAATGATTTCGTAGCTATGATGACTTATTCGGGTGAATAAGTACACATTCAGAAATAAGTTAATGTTAAAAAATTACATTTAGATTTAGAATAAATACCATAACACAAGCCATTACTTTATGATTGTTGTATACAACATGCGTTAGAAATTAATGTCGCCAATAGAAATGAAGAATTTAGTAAACGAAAGGAAGAAATGATCTTTAAGCCAAATTCATGTATTGAAATTAATGAATACGTTAGTGTTTCTCATGAAGTTTTTAGCCACCTAGTAGAAGTTAATGTAAAAATCAAATAGACTTTGACATCCATTAGCCATCTAGAGATAAAAACCATAAAGATTTTATAAAAAAAACACCTATCATGACATACTGCTCACATAAGCGACATCGAACCGTCTAGCTTACTTAAAATATTGTTGATATTGATGCTATGAACGAACACACACAGAAGGAGCATCATATAAGACAGCGTGCAGTGTCATGCAGTGTTAAGAAAAGCTGCAGAATGAGATCACAGAAGAATTAAGTGGGAATAGTGGGTTTTTATAATATCAACAATATTTTAAGTCGATGACACCAATACATTTTGAAGCTTTGCCAATGCCGAACTCGTTTTACCTTCCTATGCGTCGGCGTAGTCGGACTTATCGGAATTCCTGGTGGAGAACCGTCCACCGCGTGTAATGCACCCATCTCTTTCTCCAATTCCTAATTATCCGGAATAATGTATGAAATATGTACAAATTTCGTTCAAACCAACAGCTTAAACCAATTAGTACAACCGCTTGATAATATGTTGTAATGTTTGTGGGAGAGTGGTTGAACATGCTATGGCTTTGAAATTGTGATACTATCAACTAAACTCCAAAGCACCAGAGGATGAATACTAGGGTATAAACAAATAGAAGCTCATGACTTACTTGGAGCTGTTTCTCCTTGTCCTCCTCGACTTGTTCCTCTTCAGCCGCTGTCAATTCCTGGAAATACAGATTTGCAACATTTACACGAAAAGCGGCGTTAGATTTACAAGAGCGCGATGACGTCGACATACATCAATTTGGCAAACGTCTCGTTTGTTCACGCACACTTATTATGTTTTACATTACTTGATCTTATTGTAAGAAAATGGAAAGTTAATTTTCCTCCGAACCATGCAAGACCAAGTAACGTAAAAGGGAATTAAATAATGTACGCACCTGGGCATTAGCCAAGTTGTCGACAGCGATGGCAAGGAACACGTTTAGCAGCGTGTAGTTGCCAAATAAGACGAGGATGACAAAATACAGCGAGTAGATCATGCCCCTCTGGATGCCGCCCTGAGACTGGATGCCATCATACATCACTTCGTTCCAATCTTCACCTGTTAGGATCTGAAATAAAAGTATGCAAATAAGTAATTATCGTGTTCGTCTTTGAATATCATAGGGCCTACCATGATGTATTAAACATGTAGGCCTACAGACGATATTTACCTGGAAGACAGTAAGCAACGCAATAGGAAAGGTGTTGAAGTTGGTCGGTGGTGTGCCATCCTCGAAGTTAAACTGTCCTCCGAACAGTTGCATGCCGAGTAGCGCGAAGATGAGAATGAACAAGAAGAGAAGGAACAGCAGTGAGATGATGGATCTCATTGAGTTGAGGAGAGATATCACCAGGTTTCGTAGCGATGACCAGTACTTGGTGACCTGAAATACGCAGATATTATTATGAGAATGTATATCAATAAAAACCTTGTTTCTCTAAGGTAATTTTATATATTTTTTTTACTTCGTATTGAAATTAGAGATTGTACCTTGAATATCCTCAGCAGTCTTAGAGCTCTCAAGACAGATAGACCGAAGGAGCCACCCTTGACTTCTGACCAGACGACCTCAAAGATGGAGCCAGATATGACCACGCAGTCGAACCGGTTGAACGAGGACTCGAAGTAAATCCGCGGTCCTAACGCGTACATCTTCACCCACATCTCCATCATAAACAACCCCAGGAACACAAATTCGGCATAGTCTGTAAAAATAAAATCATCATTAAGTGTGTTTGTCTAGATACAGAAACATAACTTATAATAAAGATGTTTATCTAGTTTCTAAAACTTACATAAAAATGAAGTCAACCATTTGGGTTGTCTGTAATGCTCTACAGCGACGCATATCGTGTTGAAGAGCACCAAGACAATGACGAACCAGTAGAACCACTGGGTCTTTACAGTGTGCCTGATCCAGAACCGAAACCTCTTTTCGGCTCTCCAGAAGTTTGCAAACTTCCCAGCTGATCGGGCTTTACTTTTCAGAAAACCTGTTACAAACAAACACTTATTAGCACACCCCTTGATATCAAAGTTGCCATTGATCTTGCAATGGATATACAACACTAAAAATTGCTGATTTTCGTATTTCAATGTATACTGATCGTAAACTTAACCTTCACAGTATTAATTGTTTTATTTAATTCGTTGTTACGATTATATTGCGTGTTATAATATAGTCGTTTTACCAAATGTCGGCAATTTAAAGGGTCTAATGTTTATTGCATGATCAACGGCATTTGCATTTAACTAAGGGATTCGGGTTCAACATTCAACTAATTGTTTATTAACTCTAGCGTTTACGCACGTAACGATAGCAGTCCTAGTGATACTGTTTCACAGATTTGCGACACAAATGCTCTTGTGGTTCTAAAGCTGGTTATTTGATCGTTAAGTTTTATAACACTCAGTAATTGGCCGGTATGGAATCGGCATCGAAATTTGATCGGGGTCGCAATCCGAAACTTCGCTCGTATAAATCACTAACAACCCTCTTCTGAGATACCGTAATGTTATCTCCAGAAAAATATGTATGTTACGTTTTATGGTAACTTTTGGTGAAGCTCACGACGTACAAGCTTTGGGGTGGGTATTGGAAATAGCGGGGCTAGAGGTTGAAGAGTAGCAAGGGATAAATACAGTAGGTTTTCTGACGTCTGTACGTTGAACACATACATCGAATATTGTGAAGAAATATAATTTCTCCCTTTCACAAATTTTGAAGCAGACGTACAAACGTTAATAGTTTGGGTAAGACACAGGTAGGGTAACTATTCCTAAATCTACGACTAGTCTATTTGACTACTGTAGAAGATGAAAAGGAATATTCTACCAGCATCACGTTTGATCCCATACCTTGCTTTTTCTTTGGAACTGTAAACAACCAACACACAAATAGAGTACGAATACGCAATGATGATGATAATGAAATAAAAGAGTTAGTTATCCACAAATAACATGCAACATTCATGAATTTACAATATAATTACGTGAAAGAATAGGATAATATATTAATGATTACAAATGTGACTAATGTACTGAAAAGTTAAAAGATTCCTAACCACACTCTTAATAATAATTACAAAGACGAAAATGTAAATAAAGATAAAGAAAATGAGAGCATGCTTCTAAATATTGTTTTCTGATTGTAAAAAACTGAATCTGTATTTTTAATAGAAAATTCTGGTTATTTTTTGAAACTGTAGTGGATTTGCACACAACACGACACTCAGATTACATAATATTTAACATTCATGTTTAAGGTAGATGATACTGACCGTCATCACCGCAGTCTTCATCTTGTTCTTCTTCTTCTGTGTCTGTGCTTTTACTTTTACCAAGGTTTTTTAACTTCTTTTTGGCCGCTGCTCTTCTCCGTGCTGTCAGAAAAATAGTTATATTAATATGTTGACCAAGCTGCGTCCCTTTAAGAACATGTAAGTATATGTAGTAAAACAATGCTCATGTACTGAGCATACCTTCTATTATGTGCATTTTTTCTTCTTCTGTTGTTCTTTCTTCTGCTAATATTACTTCCTCTGTAAGCAAACGTATGTTATTAGTAAGTATTCATTCAAGTCTTCGACATTTATTTGGTCCTGTGTTCCTTTCATTATCAGTTCTTCTATGATGACTGGTATTTTTCACTTACCTGCTTTACATATCCACTCAACGTAACCATTGAGTTCTCTCTCGAGTTGCTGCTGTCTTCTTAATTTAAGAAATTCTTGTCTATTTTCTACTTTCTCTCTTTCTTTAGCGAACTCACTGCAAACATAATTATGCGTGTTGAACTAACTACTCTAGCACTAATGAATTATTTTTCATGAAAATTTGCTCCAGATGACTTTAAAACCAACCAATTGATGTGGTATAATGATAAATGAAGGTGACACCAAAATTAATGAAAAGTAAATACAAACAGCCGTATTATTCAATAAATAGTACAAGTTCACATTTAATTTTATACTTAAGAAAGAACTAGCAATACCTACATTTACACTTGAATAAGTCAAGAGTGAGCACTGTCAATAACATTTACACAACCTTTAGCTGTCAGTTTAGCTTTACTTCGTTTTCTAGCTTTACTTGAATAACCAAAATTATTATTTAAAAGACCTGCTTCAGTGATCCAGTTGAGGTATGCATTGAAGTCAGCGTTGAACATTTGTCGAGCTCGCTCTTTAACGAACTGAGCCCTTCTTTCTACGCGACCTCTTTCATTAGAAAACTCTCTGGACATTTGTGGAGAAAATATAAATAAAATAAAATAACAATAATGAATTCATGATTAAATGACTAAGTTTTTTTTCGACTTACCCGCTAAGAACACCGAGAACTAAGTTGAGCATAAAGAATGAGCCCAATACTATGAGAGGCACAAAGTAAATCCAGTTGAACGCACTACCTAGCGCGTCATTCGTCTGCAACGAAAGATATCATGGGTTAAACTCAATATACATTAAAAAATTTATTGGGCAAAGAAAATGCACATCTTTATATATAAAAATTTCGTGTCACGTGTTTGTCTCTCTCTAGACTCTTAAACTACTAAACCGATTTTAAATTTGATTTGCATTCCGTGTGCATTTTGATCCAATTTAAAAGATAATATATAAAGTTTGATTTGTACATTAACCCAAATATTATAAGGTTATAAAGATGTACATACGACCAACATGTACTTTACAAGCAAAAAAATAATTCGTATGCAATCAATAAATACAGAATTGGCACACTTTACTGAACAGGTTCAAGTTAATAAAACGTAATAGTAATATGTGTAAAGTCTTTTACCCAATAGAGGATGGCGGTCCAGCCCTCCATGGTGATGCACTGGAAGACAGTGAGCATAGCGAAGCCGATGTTGTCGAAGGACGTGATGCCCCTGTTCGGCCCCTCCCACTTCTCTAAGCACGTGCTCTTCTCGTACTCACACACGTTCGCGCCAAACGGCGCCAGACTTGCGTTGTCCGCGTTGCACGGTGTTGCACTATCGCCTTCGTTAACTATTTCACCTGGAATAATTTTAATTATTTTACTAGCTGTATTAGTGTACTTAGATTAAAACTTATGTTTATAAAAATGAAGTGGTAGGTTTTTAGCTTAGAACAGAACTCTTTGACATTTGTTATTAAAGCGAATGTTTTGTGGCACCTAATATTTCTATTAACTATTTTTTAACTGCCTGGTTGACGCGGCGGCTGAGGATCTAGCTGCCGTGTGGTGCAAAGTGGTCGCGGGTTTGATTCCAGCACGTAGCAACTCTTTGTGTAATCCATAAAATGTCTGCTTGTGATATATGTACTATGTTTTTTTATAAACGTACTCATGACGCTAGGAAACATCCTAGTATGTGGGGCAACGTGGTAACATACAATAAAAATAAAATTAACCACAACCATAATTTTACACATTACGTGGAATATAACACTGATCCTATCGATAGTGGTAAAGTTGTTACACAAAGTCTTAAAATGCAACATAAACGACTAGTCTCTAATTAACTTTTATAGCCAATAATTAAAACGTGGAACTTTCCAACTTCAACTTATTACATTTTAAAGTTTAGCCGTTAATTTGAATTTCCACATGCAATGGTGTCGCCTGTTCGCGAGTTTGTGACTTCATGGTAGGAAGTGTCATTCGAACTTTAACTAGGTTGCAGTAATTTACGGATAATAGAGTTCGTATTTACAGACACACTGTAAAGTTTACCGAGAATCGATATAGTTTGTTTATATTGTATTAGTTGCATGGTTTTGTTCGTTTGTAATTCAATAATTTTACTGACATTTCAAAAACGATACAACATAATATGACGTCATAATTGTTTTTACGTCCTACTTAGTTCTGAACAATTAGATTGAAAAAGAAATCAAAAACTACAAAATCCTCAAATCAGTGAATGAACATATGATTTTATTTCAATAATTCGTGGTACTGAAAAGTAAAATTAATTAATTTTTGAACTATTTAATTTCTCACAAAACTATATAACTATTCGCGAAATTAGGATTGTCAGTACATTTTATTGATCTATTTTAAAAGTATGTATGGCTAGGTTAGGGTTATAATACGATAGATACGAAGATGTAAATCTACGTAAATCTATGTATCTATCGTATTTTATGCATTAAGGGGTGTTTAGGTGTCTCACAGAAATAAGTTTTTCTTTAATTACAGAAATAATTGATTTACCCCGGTTTCCGAAAGGCCGATCAATGTTAAAATCAATTTAATCTCTTGTCAAGTCATCTGATTGGTTGAATGAATTATCAACAACCAATCAGATGACTTAACAAGAGATTTAACAGGAGATTAGTTAATTTTAGCGTTGACAAGCTTTTCAGAAACCGGGTGTTAGAGGTGTTATACCTATTATGTTTGAAAAAGAAAAATAGGTCTCTTTTTTCAATATTTCCTCACCTTCGAATATTCAAAGAGAAATTATTACGTACGTAATCGTGGGTAATTAGGTGATGTATCAGATACAAATAATTTGATATAACTAGAATAGTGTTGGTAGATATAAATACATTTGGTACAAGAATGTTACTGAAGAAATAATTATGATAGTGTCAATTTATACAAGTACACGAATGTTACAATTTATTTGTCAATACTGTAACACCAATTCATGAGTTATTTTTGAAATAGTTTCAAATAAGATGTAGCTACTTACTAATATCTTCTAAATTATAACAAGTCTTATGCAGCGCCCCTGAGTAGAACTCGAGGCCGATGATAGCGAAGATGACTATCGCGAAAAGCACCAAGAGGCCGATCTGCAGCAACGGCGCCATCGCCTTTATAATAGACTTCAGTACCACTTGCAGACCTAGACAGAAATTATATTTATATACATTACACCATTAGGGTCATATTAGCGTGGCTTGCCCTGTTATTTATGATCTTTTGGTCGAATTTGTTTCTTAAGCCAGATCATGCATGACTTTTTGGTTGTAGTAAAGGGACGATTACTTTCTTTTATTTACTCAAAGGGAATTATAATAAAATAGAATAATAAGCTTGAACAATTGGTATTTATAAAAAAACAATTTTTTTACAGGGTCATATCTATTTTTGTTTTCGGTTTTAGGGAGTGTTTGATAAGGCCAGAGTTGAAGCAGACAAGAAAAAAATAAAGAAATGTTAACTAAATAAAATTTTATAATGATTAGTATTCATAAATTACAGGGCAAGTAACAAATTGTTCGATAAATGGAATTTTGAAAAAAAAAGGAAAAAGAAACGAAAATAAGTACTTCTTAAGTCAATAATTGAACATCGTAAATAATATAAAATTAAAGATAATTACCAAGTAGGTGGGTTTCTCGACGTTAGTTGCTTATTTTAACGATGAATCAAAGGAAGAATTCAAAAGATACAGACAACAAGAAATAGATTTTCTGACTAAATGCCATATATCTAGAGATGAAAATCATTAACTATTAATTGAAAAAGACGTCAGAACAATGGTAACACAATATAAAATCAAAAAGTTATCGTGCACAATGATATAATTACATGCTGCATAGTTTTATATAAAATGGCGGAATTTTATTTTTCTTTTTTTTCGCGCTTTAAGTTATTAGTGGCCAGGTACATTTTTGTTGACATAAAAACTTTTTGTTTATTTTTCTTAAACCAGCCAGTGGTTTTTATGGATAAAATTATGCAGCGATGTAACTAAGGGTACTACATTACGATTTACTAGTCTATGAATGTTCTAGAACTCACTAGGAACGCCCGATACTAATTTAAGGGGCCTCAGCACCCTAATGGCACGCAAGGTCCTGAAGTCGACGTCGGCTGGCGCGATCGGCAGCTGCGTGATGATACTGCCAAACACATATCACTCGATACTATAGCTTGAACTAGCAACTAGCTGAGTAATAAATTACTACTGAAGACTGTGCTTTTGTTGAACAAAAAAAGGGGGAAATAAAAACCAAAATAGATTAAGGATTTTGGTATCACTTAAACATTGAATGTGTAACCAAGATAGTTATAATGGACAATTTCCAGAAAAGGCCCGTGTGTCCATGGTAGTTTCTTAGTTATAGCTCCGAAGTACAATAAAACAAACGCAATTATTTGTGATAAAATAAAATAAAAAAAAGTGAGAAACAAAGCACAGCCTTGATTTGATGTAAAAAATAACTACAATCTAAATATCGTGTATCTAATTAGTTAGATTGTTATATGCTAAATAAATCATGTTAATTATACGCATTTTAATCTAAATACACCATATTTATTCACACCTAAAACCATTTCTTTATCTAAATTCTTACGTATTAGCTTTTATATTTGATGTAAACCTACACAATACACAAAATGTATAGCAAATAGTTACTATTATGCAACACGTAGCTTTAAAACATTAAACACTTTCAATAAATCACATATTAATCAAAATTCACACATTTTCTAATCTATATTAAGTATGTCAATAAACATGTCGAGAATACGATGCTACGTATTTTTTACTAATATAATAATAGATTAAAAATTCTATTTTCCATAACTAGATGTAGTTCTACATTCAAAAAAGTTTCAAAATTCGAAAACATCTAGCGAGTAACGTCTATAACAAATAAGGTAGAGGTATTATGTGAACTTGTCGCCAATTACTGTGAATTACTTGGTATCCGCGAGACGAGCTTGAGCGGTCGGAGCACTCTGAACGAGCGCAGCATCCGCAGGTCAACGTCCACGTTGTATTCGGCGAATATCGTCATCGACCTAGTTTTTGTTATCGAATATTCAATAATGTCAACCCTTTTCTTTGTTTGTGTGACAAAACCTAGTGTCCTACGTTTAGTTTCAACCAATTGTGTGGCCTAATAGTATAGTGTAAATGATAATTTGTATATAATTTAGATTATAATGATGACGTTCTAGTAAAAGTGTCCTCTGTGCTGTGTGTGAAGAATGTAAATACAGCAAACGAGGACGCATTTACGTAATTATTTATACTTTGAAAAGACAGTCATGGAAGAAATGTTGCTTTTCTATAATCTATCACTGTATCAGTTCTCAATTGGAATTTTCTCAACCATGAGCCATAGATCAGAGAGCCATAGATTATAAATAAATAATTATCGAATGAGATATATTTTTAATTAATTTAAATACAGGTTGACTTGCTCTTAAAAAATAGAAAAATAGATCTAGCAAAAATAAGATTATATAAGTAATTTTAAGAATAATAATTCATTAGTAGATTACGAAACATTTCTTCACACAACTTCACTGTTACCTCTTAGGGAACAAAAACAAAAGATTAAAAAATATTAAAATATAATAAAAAAACATCACTCACCCAGTTACTACAACGAAAAAATCCATGATGTTCCAAACGTTCCTAAGATAAGATCCCCTGTGTAAAACAAAACCTAAAGCTAAAATTTTTAACGAGGCTTCTACACAAAATATTCCTAAAAAGTACGCCTCGGTCTTTTCCTGAAACAAATGAAACAGCGTTCAGTATTATTTTAAGTGTGCGAGAGCCATGCTTGGGCACGAATGGGTCGGCTCGATCGGAGTTATACCACGGCCTCACAGAAAACCGATGTGAAACAACCACAGCGTTATGTTTCGCCGTGTGAGCGAGGTTACCGGCGGCCAATCCTTCCCCTTCCCCAATCCCTAAATCTTCCAAATCCGTAATCCCTAAAAGGTCGGCAACGCACTCGTAACGCCCCCGTTGCGGGTGTGCATGGGCGGCGCTGATTGCTTACCATCAGGTTATACGTCTGTTCGTTTGCCGACCTATTATTAAAAAAGTATTTAATATTTAAGAGAAGATAAATAAGCTTTTGGTAAATTTCGATATGATATGTAGTGTTTTTTTTATAAGTTTTTCCATTTATTTATAGTAGAAAGTTAACATAATTGTTGTCGTTATGTTATAGTGCACGTTGTGACACTTTAAAATTTGTTGTGTATTTGTTTTTTTTCACATATATTTTTTAAACATGCAGGGGTTTCATTTTAGTACAGAAATATTTGCTCTGTGTTTGTATTTGTAATACACATGTTGTTGACAAGACATTAAAAGGGATTTTCTTTGTCAGTATTTGTACAGAAATCATTACTTTTAATGAGTTCGAGAAAAAATGGTTTTGTTTTAGAAATGTTATGCGGGGCGAACAAAAATGCATTCTTTGTCTTTGGAATAAAACTACAATTAGTTTGGAACTATGTGACATTTCTTAAAGCTAAATCAGTCTTATTTTACCACAAAATCGTGTTCCATTTTTAAAAAACCGCATAGCTGACCTAATTAATCAACCTGTGTGCAGTAAAATAGACCTTAGTTTTGAAATAATAAGGTTCAACTTACCAGATTCTGTGCTAAGATGGTCTTATCGCCGTTGGGCAAATGCTCCTCCAGCGCCAGCACCACGCAGTTGGCGATGATGGTAAGCAGCACCGCGTACTCGAAGGGCGGCCACTCGATGATGAACTTTGTGTACCTGGAAATAAATTACATATTTATTTAAAACATTACGTTAACTGAGGAAATATAGAATACAATATATTTGTTTTTATAAAGAATAATATGTAAACTCGAATGTTTTTTTTTTTGAGGGGGTTATTCACCGAATTTTCTCTCTAGCCTTGGACGGGTCGAAAGGGAGTGTCAGTCTCTTATTGAATACCAACCACCTCGTTCCTTGTTCTTCCATATTTGCCCTTGAACCCGGCTGAACACCAGCCTTATTGGGAGCCGTCAAACGTAACAATGTAACTAGAAGTAGTAGAAGCTTATTATGACGAAATATGACGAAAATTATTTATTTAATATCCTAGTTAGCGGGAATACAGATCATAATATGTCGTATACTATCGTTTATTTATCGTTCTTATATAGCGACAGCGAAGAGAATATAAAAATACCCTTAATAACATCTACCTCTTAAGCCTTAGAAGAGCTTCGTATGCCTTACACACACGCTCAAACTAGATTGCATTATCTATGCAATGATCGCTTTCTAGAAACTTATCAGTCTTCTCATTATCGTTTTTAATTACAAGTTAATGAAACATTTTCCATTATGATGTCGATTAGATACCCTTTTGATAGGGCTAATGATAATGTATGATGCGACAGCACCTATGTATACTTTTTTTATTGAGAGGAGAAAGTCAATAAATGACTTCTTAAGCCCTGGGTACAGCAAGAGTCATAGACTATTATTTACTAAAACCACACCGCTTTTTCTCCTGCTCTAGGTATAGGCAGCAGTATGTTATATAATTGCCCTCAACCCACAACCCTAGCACCTATGTATACTTTTTAACAACTAAATATAATTTGCACGCAATAATCACCCATAAGTCTATGCTCAATAGAACTGCAATTGCTGTAAATTACTGCTACACTGATACATGATTTAATGATTATTTTAAGTATTCTTAGTAACAATTTTGCTTCGAAAACAAAAGCTTAGGATAGATTTAAATAACAATTATTAAATTTCTGAAAAAATGAGATAATGAGTGGGTAATATCGTTTAGTATTTTCAACAACTACTCGTAAGTGTCGACCGCAAAGATAAAAAATGTTTTACAAATAATAATGTTACACTTTCAAATTTCAAACATATTTTGCAGCATCATTTATTGGTACATGTTATAAAAATCTGACAGGCAACGTTCCTATCGTTCAATGCGACCCGGCCAGGTGTGAAAGTTCCATAACTTTAAAAGGTTTCTTACGAGTACAACATGCTGTCCAATGGACAAGCGTGGAATGCACTTCGTATTATGAATACTACGAATTTCCTGCAATAAGAGTTTGGAAACTACATTTTCTGGTTGTTGAAATATCAGCTTAAAATGTATGTGTTAATGGTTCATTTTAATCGTATTGCGAGACACATGACTTTTACTAATTTTAAATTAAATAGATTGAAATTAGAATAGACTAGAATAGTTTACGTTTACAATCCTAAAATATTAGAATTCCAACGCAAGGCTTATTTTTTTTTATTGTTAAATAACTAAAGGTACCTATCCTGTTTTATGGATCGAATCAGGCGTCGGATCACCGAATAAGTGACTAGCACCATACCTTTATTTAAGTAAACTAAAGAATATACCATTTATACTTTAATTCGGTTCCGAATGTGGGAGTGATTTGCAAATGGGACCATGACGTTTTTTCACGTGAGTGAATTTACCAGAGACTGATTTTTCCTCAATCTGAATACACGTGTCTTGTAACTAGTAAAGTAAATGTCTTTTTAGTAAATAAATATAAAAATGGACTGGAGTTAAATATTTAAAAGAAATTCTTCTTTAACTATTGAAATAAGTAAGCATTTGTATATTCCTTTTCGCCCCGTCCTATATACATAATTTATATTTCATGAATTTCGTGACGACACGGAAATATTTGAAACGAGTTTCGTTTCAAAATTAAATGACTGATGTTTTTGGGGCTACCTCAAATTAAATCAAATCGTTTCTGTTCATTTGTTTTTCTATTACGTTAAAATTTGTTAACAACGAATAGACTATATCAAGAATAATTTGTAAAAATATGCAATTAAAATACATAAGTAGTTTGATAACTTACACATATTACTATTACACTCATTCGAATTTATGTATGTTTAACATTGTATCCTAATGCAGTATTTATTATTAAACTCTTCCTCTTTCGTATGTTTAAATCTAATGCATTGTGGGCCTTGGCATTAATTATCTGTGGTTTTACACATGACAGTTACATAGGACACTTTTTAGTTGGTACGTATTTATAAATCGCACAGGTGAAATTGTTTTCTATATTTGAAATAAAATATTCTTTTTTTTTCTCAACAGTGCAAGAGAAAATTCTCAACGCAAAACAGTCTCCTTTTGTTATCAAATTGCGTATACCTAGTGTATGAGCGTACTTGTTTACAAAATGCATTAGGGAGCGAATAAGGTGTGCGTTTAATATGCATAAGTGGGGGCAATAGCGTCCCACCCGCAACGCGCCATGCTAACTTCTGGCCAGATGTTGCGCAGGGTTAATATCAACAATGATAGTCCATGTTTTTGGGGGTTGATTTAAGTTACCTGCATACGTTACATATACAGCTACTAAGACATTTTATTTTTCGCTTTACTTGAGTTTTGTAACTAAATTTTGCTTTATAAATTTATATCAACATCAGTAATCTTCTATCAATGTTTCATTCGGTGCACAATTCCACGAATCTATTTCATATACAATTCAACAGTAAATAGCAAACACAGAATAAAAAAACTAATTTAACGCTTTATGTCACTATGAGATCCAAATTGTATTTATTTACGTTCCGCATGGATTGTTGGCACCAAGCACATCGAACGCCAAACTATGTCCCAACGAGTGACACACAATTATCTACGCCTACATTTTAAAAATGTTAACTTTATTTTTGGCGCGATTTTCCCTGTCACTGCGATTAAGCGCGACCCTTTTTCCCGCTAATATTTTTATAGAATCACTGTGACATGTTATTTTTAAAGTTTGTTTTGAGTAATTTTATTTTATTTCGTATAATATTGTGTTAATATTTAACGTCTGAATAAACAAACTAATCAAAAAGTGTGCTAAAGTAAAGTAACCTAGAATGTATTTGTGAACTTTGTTACAAATATCAGAAAATACCAAATAGGTAATAATAAGACGAATGTTTTCTTGAAGTATTAACAGACCTAGTTTTATTGATTTCGACATTAAAATTAATCGTTTCGTTAATAAACTGTGTAGACCAGAACGTAGGAGGACACACGTACATGTTTAGGATCAACGATTGAAAGAGCAAGTTCCACCAAAATCTAAAGTACAGATTATAACCATTCTAATTTTATGACGGGCTACACAATTAATAAAAATATCCTTACCTCCGAATTGGATTTTCGTCGGCAAATATAAAGAGTGAGCTGGGCCCTGGAGTAGCGGGCTGGTGCGCGCCGCCCATGGTATCAGCTGGCGCCGCGCGAGCCTGCGCCCCCGCCGCCTCCTGCGCTGCCGCCAACCTGGAACATAACACCGTGTACTTAGCAAACCTCTTATAAACTTCTTGGAGCCTGGTATCGTAGGCTTTCAATAAGGACAATCTAGAGTTGATAAAAATGAAATGTTCAGAAGATTGCCATAGTAACAAATAATTATAAAGTTGGTTAATGGTAGCAATAGCTGTTGAGGGCGGTCATAGATAAATACAATAAGTTCAGTTCTTAAACGATTGTAGATAGACGAAATAAAAAAAGTGTTTTGTTGTATCGCACCTCAGTAATTGGCAACTTTAATTACGTATGAGATGCCTACATAGGATGCATATAAAATTGATGTTAAACCCAACCATTGTGTCTAGGAACACAACATAAAACACGATCATAGCACACACCGCGGCCG